GTTGTTACGGCATTTAGTATTTTACTAAACTCGCTGTCCCTGTTTGTGTAACTCTTAAGTTTGATGGACGGATAAAGATCGTGGAAGAAACTAATGGATGTTGAATCGACGGTAAGTTTTTTGTGATTTCTCCATTGCGCAACAGCATCGTAGAGAAATTCCGCAGCAGCAGTGGTAAGTAAGTACCTGCGGAAGTTAGCCTTGAAAGTTATGAGCCGCAGGGGGTGGAAGGAAGTACCATGGGTTTCCTCCTTGATAGACATCTTCTGCATATCTTCCAACTGCGATACCTGAGTTGTTTTTAATACCAGCATTGATACCATAAATTCGAAAGCTATTCACAACTGCTCTGAAATTGGACAACGCTCTGCTACTACAAGGTTGTAAATTTGGACTATCACAGGATCCATCAATATCGAAGATAGAAATCGGTCCAAGGATAGAGGCTCCGTCTAGCCCTGTTCTTCCGTTATCGACATTAACATTTGAGATAATATATTCTCCGTTCCAAAAACTTTGATTGAGGAAACATAGAGTTTCTAATGCATTAAGATATCCTGGAGATTCAACACCGAGTTTATTGGCCAGATTTCCGGCTTCAACAAATGCACGGTGTTGGTTTTGTAAGGTAAAAAAGCTAGATCCCAGAACTTCTTCCCATAAATCATATCCAGTTTCGTTCCAGTATTCGCCAATATATGATAAATCATTTGCGATGATAGGCCATATGACCAGCTTGGCTCTTTGAAGCTGACTATGGTTAATTAACCAATTGCTATAAGCCATCAGAGCGATAGCACGAAGAGCTGGACCATCGCGTTGAGGTCTACCCCATGCTGAGGCACGTTAATGGGTGCCAAAAATTACTTTGAAGATTACATACCACCATTGAATCGAGTACCATCAACCTCGTATTTTGGTTCACCAAGTCCTAGACCATTGGGGAGGAAAGTGCCAGAAGGATTCGTTACAGTTTGGAGGATGGCTTGAGCTTTAACGTATTTTTCAATTTGAGGTTGGAGTGCACGATTGCCAAAAATGAATTCATCAACAAGCATTTTCAATGTCAACGCAGAATCTCTAGTCCAGGTATAGAAGTCTGGAATCAATTAGCATGAGTCGCCTGGGAAACCCAACAGTAGTCTGTCTTACAATCAGGATTAGTCTTAGAAGGACTCGCAATGACATAATTGCCTGCTCCTGAAGCTTTCGACCCATCTGGTCCAATGTTGTTTAGAACACCCTGTAGGGCAATCTTTCTCTCGGAAGCAATGAAGGAATCGAGATTACTGTAACTTGCAGTTGCATCTCTTGGTGAAGTTGCCGTTGCTTGGATACATAGCAAATATAAAACCGTAACGATAGAAGATAACAGCATCTTGGACATTGTCAACAGTTTACTTAAATCGAGAAAAGAGGTGGAAGATGCGGTTAAAACAAAACAACATGCGGCAACATGAGCACTTATTGATACTTTCTTGTACTTGTCTGTACCTTTCCGTCTCATGTCACGAATATCGTGATTGGGCAAACTAACCTCCACGTTCATTTACTCCATGTACTCCAGATGGAAGGAGCGAGATGACGGCCCGATTATCTTGCGGGGTTACAAGCGGGGAAGGTGCATAGGTACATGAAAGCCAAGTATTTTGACATGTGAGGTTGAATATCAGGGGTTCTGTAATATCGTGCCGCTGTCTTTTACCTAACATTGCTGCGGGAGAATAGGCATCTCAGCTAGGACGGAGATTAATACATTCGCGAGTCGAATGCTACTGGTACGCTCTTGCGACAACATCTATTGCCAATACCAAGGCAAAGTTGAGGAGCTGAGTTCCAAGAATCTTCATACATTAGCTTTCTTGAGATTCCGGATACACTTTGCCCAGAATGCCCAGAATGTATGTTTGATAAAAGAGAAGAGAATAATTATCTGCTGCATAAAACGGCTATCGGAAATCGGAAATTAGAAGGACTCACATGATACTCTCGTGATTTGAGGGAAAAAAGGTCATTTGTTGCATGTCTTAATTCAGTACCGCCGCAGAAAGGTTGGTGGGTGAGTTTCTTCGCTTATGTAATCTCCCGCTATTATCATCAGACCGTTGAGTGAGGAATTCATCATCCATCACAAGTTTTGCGACTTGAACTAGGTAACTCACACGGTCTTTCTGAGCCCTGGATCTGAATAAAATAAGAATAGATAGTTCTCTTTCATGACAAAATGGCTGAAGCACATCCATTGGGTTAAATTCAGAGAAAAGTGCTTTATTCTCACACTCAGCATCTTAGCTTCTGTCAGCCAAAGAGGTGGATACAACTATGGGTAGAAGTATATGGGAAGAAGTATCATCATATCCAATGAATGGGTCATATTCCTGTGTATGTAAGGGTTGTGGCTTCCAACGGCCTCCTCAGAACGAACAGCAAGCACGTCATTGGATTTGGGTTAAGCTGCGGAGTCTATCTCCATCAGTTGATCATTTGGGCGAGCGAGATAGCATAGGCTATCTTACTATGTAGGCTTGAAGTCTCAATCAGAACTTCCCAGATTTAGACCTCTGATCCTCGCCTGCTATCCTAGTATAAACACCGTATACCAAAGTAAGTACTCCCGAGTGTTCCGCCATTGACGGGGGAAGATATATAGATGCTTACCTGCCAGTAGTGAGTTAATTCTATCTTACAATTCGACTTCTCGACATTCAATTCATTGTCATTTAAGGGTTTTATTTGTCAATTTTATGAGACTATTGTTAGATTCTGTATGGGCTCTATCACATCTTACATGGCTCGAACCCTTAATTTCCCCGTGCAAGATCGATTCATTCTTCCTGCAGGTACACTTGAAAGAGTTATGATTCTACCTGCGTGCCATGCTTACCGCCAAGCATTCTCTACATGGTGACGAAATGCTCAAAGGGCTTTTGTATACAGCCACTGAGAAGGTCCTATACTTTGGATCTTATGATTATTTGTAGATGCAATGCTTTCAATACTCTCCAAAAGAGTATAAAAGCTAAATCCAGCAGTATGGTACCCATCATCTAGTGCAATTTTGAATTCGACGTTCACGGTCGATGTTCTTCCGATCACACAGTTGCGTTTGGACTGAACTAGCTAACTGGTCTCAAAAGATATTACTTGGAGATGACCACCACCTGGGCAAGCTTCAATCGTCGTCTCTTATTACTAGACGAATTAAATCCATCATGGATAGTCAATGATAACATCGAGATGACAATGGCAATAAATGCGATACCATCTAGTCTGATAAGACTACATATATTATTTGAACTTCTCTACTCGTCTAATGGCCACACTTCTTGTCACTGAAATTTCACGTTGTCTCACACTACTCGTTTTCATTTTCATGCCATTCGATACATAGTTATTCAAAATAAATCTTGATAGGTACGTATACAGCGCAAGTGTGTTCAACCAGGTTCATTTGAAGGTTCTTTATCAAAGGATCAAGGTCCGTTCTGTTGATCCGCAGTAGTTGAAAAGGCGTATCGCAGCATTCTCTCTGCTGTTACGTGAATGTAAGCCCCTTATGCCTTGAATGATGAAGCAGGACTAACTTGGATGTATCGTTTGGGCCTGATATCAGCGTCCAAGCCAACATTCTCTCTTCAAAGTTTATTGCTCTCCCCTTCTTTTCTTGATGTTCGAAGAGCGAGTGTACATATAAAGAGAGAGAAGCGTCCTGCAATCCGGAGTCCCCATTCAATATGCACGAAACATATTTACTTTCGCGTGCTACTCGCTTGTAGAATTGACGCAGTCCGTAATAGCAACATTTCCATATACAGATGCTTTCCACTCTACTCCGGTCAGTGTAGACAATAGTATACTACAGTGAAACTGTGGCGCGTATTAGCATATTGATATTGCAGCTAATACATATAGAAAGGAGGCTATACCACTCTCATACATATTTATATATCTAGAGAATACTAACAATATACTGAAATACTAGAATTCAATATAAAATATATATTCCTATTCAAATTAGATAATAAAATTCCATTCCTTATTTCAAATTGAATAGAAATCCCTTATTTCTAGTCTAATTTAAATAGGAATGTATATTTTATATTGGATTCCAGTATTTCAGTATATTGTTAATAGTATTAAATAACTAAATGATATTGAATACTTTCAGTGGTATTGAATTCTATACTATATATGTACATATTTCGAAAAAACTCGATACGCACCACTAAACTAACCCGTATACGAAATACGGGAAATACTATTGCCTACACTGACTCCGGTGGTATCATTGCTCTTTGTAAAAATGAATATAAGAGGCTCATAAAGACAAGCACCCGAAGATTCTGTTGTCAATTGCGTGGGTACGATAGAATTTGCATTTGGCGATAAAATATTAATTAACGACAACAAATGAGGAGGACGGCATTCAAGAAAAGGTGACCTATCTACTATCTAGTGAATCGAATGACCACTTCAAAGATTCTTGGCTATCCTTCCTCAATTGTTTTCACGAACCACAGTAAAGCTTCAATGATGATGGGGCGCTGAAATACATAAAAATGTCTTTCGTATTCTCTTTCTTATATAATCGATGCCACACTGAACTCTTGAGCTAACCAAGCACTTTAGATGTATATCTGACTGTGCTTTAAAACAACTCCCCACTCTGAATTTTGGGATGAGATTGATTCAAAGTGCCAGAGTATCCGCAATAGCATTCGCATTTCCATTAGATCTGCAACAAGACTCTGCAGTAGCGTTGTCTTCATGACCTTGATTGGCAAATTCACTGGGATAGAAGCTTTTGTTGCGCATCTTAAGTAACCCCGACGGTATTTTGACCTCGATCCCGAGGATATAGAAGTGTCAAAATATTTCGAAGTATGCAACAAAACTCGATTTTACCATTGCTTCAATTGATATTTATTTATTACTTGTTCTGTTTGGCCGCATTCACTTGATAATCAATTGTGCTATGATGTGAATGTGGCGTGAATCCAGGGATGGTTCAGCATTTATTCGTTTCTAGTGAAACTAAGCATACAATTGTGTACTCATGCAGTCAGATGGTCTAGCAATTTAAAGTAACGTCAATAAGCCCTCTTTCCAGAAATATTGACAACACGTAGTCAGTAAATCCAAAGTACGTTGGTGGGGTGGAAGTTCGACAGTCCAAGTATGATCGCATAGTCTGTTGGTACCAACTGTTATACATCCAAGCACTGTATATCATCTCACAACCCTCGGTTCTACGACCATTTTCCATTTCCTACTCCCAAGAAACCAAGAAATAATGGCCACAATCCTGTTCAACGAAGGCCACCCGGGTCCAAAATACGCCCAAGATGCCCCAACCAAAAAACAGCTTCTACACAACATCATCGACGGCATAGCCCGAACACGACCCAATGCACTCTAGGCCGTAATTCCCGTCTCATTCACCAGCTACTCTGAAGGTTTTCGAAAAGTCACATATTCCGCGCTTGCAAATACCGTGAATGGTATTGCGTGGTGGTTAACCGATCAGCTTGGTTCTGGATTCGGAAAGGATTTCCCAACTATTTGTTACATGGGTTGGAATGACCTGATATATGTGACTATGGTCTTAGGAGCCGTGAAAGCTGGCTATAAAGTATGTATCTTTCATGATATTTGTGTGTAAATATATTGATGTGTGATTCACAGATACTTCTGGTCTCGCTTTATAACAGTAATGAGGGAAACATCGGCCTATTCAACGCATTAGACTGCCAAGTTTTAACAACTACAGATCCTGTTCCACTAGGAGTGCCCGTATTACTTGAAAGCATGCCCAAACTACGCACCATTACCGTTCCAAATGTCAACGAGCTGTTAGATAACAGTTACCAACATTTTCCCTTCATCAAAACTTTCAATGAGGCGAAGAGTGAACCTCTAGTCTGTCTCCACACATCCGGAACGACCGGTCTACCAAAACCTGTTATCTATCCTCACGACTTTGTATCGACATATATGAGAATTGCGCAATTGGCTTCTTCTGAGGGATTTGAATCGAGAGAGAAAGAGTACCAAGGCACACGAGTTTTTATGAATCTTCCGCCATTTCATGCAAGTATATCTATTTTATTCAACTACCTGTTTGAGGTTATGTAAGGCTCCCGAGGTCGACAGAGCACTAACAGCAGGATAGGTATCAAGCATAAACGCACTATCCGAATCACTAGCTAATCAAAACATCGTCATATTCCCTCTACCAATGGAACGAGTTACCGCCTCATCGCTAGTCGAGATTATGAAGCACACGCCAGTAGACGCACTATGTGCACCTCCATGGATGGTGCACGAGATCGCAACCAATCCCAAAATCTTAGAAGAATTGGTTTCTCGTAAACTCGACGCTATCTGGTATGGCGGCGGCGATTTACCCCAACAATTCGGCGATATCATAACCTCTGAATTCAAATTCTGGAATTCGAACGGATCTACGGAAACATCCCCATTTCCAAATATCTACAAGTCAGGAGAATGGCCGGCAGAAGATTGGAAATACCAATGTACTCATCCTGCTGCAGGGTTGGAATATCGAGTTTTCTCAGATGATGACCAGCTTTATGAAGCAGTTATCGTACAAAATTCCGATACTGGGTTTGAACAACCAGTGTTCAAGCATTATCCGGATTTGAAGGAGTATTCTACCAAGGATTCATTCTCTCCTCATCCCACAAAGGAAGGTTTATGGACATACCGTGGGCGTACTGACGACATGATTTTGGTGGTCGTGGATAACGTGGCAACTCGTCCATTCAATCCACAATATATAGAACATGCAGTGACAGACCATTCGATGTCAAGGATGCAGTTATGGTTCCCGCTGGGAACTTTTTCAACGAGAGATTTGCAACAAAAACCGCCCTTCTTGTTGATCTGAAAGACAGCGTTGATGCGACGGCGCTTGGCTACAGAGAAAGGCTGATCGAAGAAATTTGGATTATTGTTAATGGTATCAATGAGAAATACCGAGAGGAAGCTTGGGTGCGGAAGGAATGCATCATTATTGCCAACCCACAGAAATCCCTTCCCAGAAACCCAAAAGGTTCTATTCAGCGGGCTGGAGCTATGAAATTGTATGCACAGGAGCTAGAGAGTCTCTGAGTAGTATAGAACATTGACTGGTGAAAGAATTTAAGTTTTAGCTGGGGATTCTCACGAGAAATTGAGAGTCGAGAAAGTGATGAGGTAAATTCGAGTGAAAAGGGAGGATCAAGGAGGAGCAACGAACGGTAAAGGCACTACCTTTCCTATCTTGCTTCCTCCAAGGGCAGCTGCATTGAGTGTGCTATTTCGTAGGGAAGATTTGTGTCCCAGCTTAAATTCAATAAAAGATCGTGCTCCTGGAAGATGACTTTTAGGATCCGTTGTGGCCGATCCACTTAATTGTGATTCTAAAATGGTATGATTCGTGCCTAAACGCCTGGGTATTGTCCCTTCCTCCATCCTCTGCCCCGAAATTTTAAATTAAATAAAAATTAATTCATTATTCATCATCGCCAAAATCGTCAAAAACATCTCCTGCTTCCCCATTACCTCTCTTATCGAACCAACCTCCAAAATCAAGCTTCATCAGCAATCTGTCTACTCTGCCAACCTTAGCTGGGACGTATGCACCTTCCTCTCCCAAGACTAACTCTTCATATCCACTGTCCCAGCCATTTTTATCTTGATCTATGTCTCGTAGAGTTTTGACTAGTTCTTCGATTGCGTCCTTTACACGTGTTGCAATTGTTCCAAGTTGTTCTTTGATATCTTGCTCCTCTTTGTGAAAGTCAGAGAATGCATCTACCACTCCTTCATCAGCCTCGAGATCAAGAGATTGCCAAACAGAGTGGATACGGTGGACAAGAGCGACTAGATGATCAATTTGTTGGAGTAGATAATATAGTGGATCCGTAAATGTTGAAGTGGTTAAAAGGAGATTGGATGCGAGAGCGGTGAGGTATCTCCTATGTGCATCTGCAAGTGTTTGAGGATCATGATTGTGACTAGCATTCCTCGACGTTGATTGATTGGCAGCCTGTAACCAGATATCTTCATCTTCATCATGGGATCTTGATGCACGCGTTTCTCCTGTAAGCCAAGCTGTGAAGCCTAACCAAGTTCCTTGTACGACTTCGCCTTGAAGGTATGCTTCCGTCTCGCCTAAGAAGAAGACTGCAGCGCTACCCGTTGCCCATACGCTGCGCATAGTATGGGAGCGCTCTTTAGCTCTAGCTCGAAGTGTAAGAACCTTTTGTCGCCCAAGAGTCGAACTACCCAAAGGTGGACCTGGAGGAGCAGGATGATCGCGACGTAACGACGTTATCTTCCAAAGATTAGTGAGCCGTAGATGGGCCCTGTGAACTGCTAAAAGATAAGCATTAATGCTGGAATACATCTGGGTATCAGATGGAGTAAGGAACAGATCTAATGGTGAAGGAATGTGAAGTGTAAGGGCCACGGGAACGGAAAGTAAGAGGTTTCGGAAAGGGGTGGAAACAATTAGAGAAGATTGCGAAGCTCTCAAGTTGGCTTTTCCTGGCGTATTCGAATTCACTTTCATAATATTCAATTGAACAAGGTCTCTTGCCAGTTCAAGCAAATCGTCATCATCTTCTTCATCATTTTGACCCTTTTGTGCGCCCATTGCAGCCCAGGTCCTAGCAAGGACTGCAGTGACTTCCCCTTCCTTAACGACGATGTTGCCCAGGCCATCCTTTTTCTCATAGCCTAAAGTGTCAGACCTTCTCCATCTTGAACGGATCTTTTCATCAGCCTCAAATATCAACGCTATGGCAAATTCTCCTCTGCCAAGCAGAAAGAACTCCCGTAATAAAGTCAAGGCCTCAATTACTTTGCTTAAGGGTAGCAACTTCTGTAAAGTAGTTTGAGATAGGGAAAGACGTATAGCGGCTATGACTCGTGCGAAATTGGCGCCATTTATTGGGAATTTTATTGTTGATAACTGTCGCAAATGAGATGATAATAGGTCAAGCTCCGGGGAGGACGTAGATGAGATGCCCTTGACTCGAATATGATTCAAGGACCGTCCAATGAAAAGAAGCGATGATGCAGTAGAATCTGACACGAACGCCGGTAACAACTCTTTAACGTTGATGTAATCCTATGATCCGACCAGTCAGTTGTTCGTCTCCCATAGTTGTGAAGCATGGAAACATACATGTGAATCGTCTTCTTGTACAAAAAAGTCACCTCGTCCAAAACTTGGTAACCGCCCATATAGAATCCAGGCCGATACCTGCTTCAGCCAAGCTGTCTGCGCAACCTTCACCAGACTCAATGCCGCCTCTTCTATGTCCGCATATCCTGTTTGTATAGCATTGCATAACCTATCAATGACCATTGCCCCACTGCACTTCTTTCCGCCAACGTCTTGCATCATGAAGTCCACAATCTCCAAGAACCATTCCATTCGCCTCGTCCAGCCAGAGAACTTCTCCACGATAAATGTCAACGGCACAATATTGTATGCACCAACACTCCCAGCATCTTTGCGCAAGATACCATTCTCGACCTCAAGCACCTTGCGTTGAAAGCTTGCAAGATGTACGGAGCTTATAGATGTAGCGACAGCTTGGCAGATACTCGAAGAGTGCTTCGAGGATATAGTATTTGTGTGCGCGAGGAGCTTGCAGTGAAGATCACTCAAATGGGCGACAGAGGAGAGGAGGGACTTTTCGGAGGGGGATAGGATGGAGGATGAGGATGTGTTATCGGCAGTGAGGAGCGGAGAAGGATGTCCCGAGAGGGAGAGGAGTATTTCGTGGAGCATCTTGTCTGAGGATTAGATCTTTTTCACAATCAGCAAACTCAGAAATCCCAGTCCAGTGGAGTGTAGTGGTTCCTCATACTGGCTTTTCTTTTTACCCGCGAGCCAATCTACCAAGTCGTAATATAACAATAGAATAGTACCCAATAACTCAAAACGGCACATTTGATTCACAGCATGTTCATTCTCTAGGGCGCATCAGCCAGACATGACATGCGTACCGACTGAGCTGTGGTTCATTGAGGTCATAAATTTCCCTAGGATCGCGTTGCAGGCGCGATGCGGGGACGCGGAAGCTTGGAGCACTACCTGGTAGTTCCAACCCACCACCTCACTTCAATCATAATTTTATTCAACGACTGTGTTTTCATATTTACGTGAAACTCACCGAATCAGATGGAGGACTTGCTTGAATCGATACCAGTTTTCCGCCTCAATCAGAGACTCTGCTTATCACGCCGATCCTCGGGTTCTGCAAGTGCGTCGTCCAGCTGTTCTTGTTACCAATCAAATGAATACTGTCAAAACCAAATAGGGGTTTGTTAGATCGCATAGAGGTAGCAAACACTGATGTGTCTGGGAAAGAATTGTGATCCTAAATAGTATCATCCACTATCCACTATACACTGCTGTCATGTCATGTGTTGGTCTATTCGGATAATACTATGCAGACAATGTGAGAATGCACAAAACCCTTCCCTCCCACCGCCTCTTCTCCTGCCCCCACACTGTCACAACACTGAGCCATCCGGAGAAGGGATTAGAGATACGCTTATGAGAGAGGATATTCGAGATATGAAACAAAGCTGGGTTCTGAAAGGTGGCTACCGCTACGCGGCGGAGTAGACGTGTAGATGGTGCAGCAGAAGCGAAATCTTTTACTTTTTATACTTTCATTGACAGGATTCCATCCCTTTAAAAGTTACCACTGACTTTTGTGACTCCTGATTCTCTTATACAATCTAAAGATCAAGATATCTGAAAACATTTTACTTTATACGTATCGAACTCTACCACCAGATATGACTACTTTTCGAGACATCGCTGCTTGGGCCCAGACTCTCGCAGAAATTGCGGCTGCCCCCACTGAAGCCACGAGGAATAGTCCTCCGCTCGCGCAAGCACTTTCTTCCCTTCAAAACATTGGATTCCAAGATATTGGCGGTGCCGTGGAGGCTTTCAAGAAACACGGTACCGCACTCAAAGATTCGATGGAAGCAACCTATGCACAGGTGCCTCCAGAAATTCGGAATAAAGTGGAGAAGGTGCATGGTCGCCTCGTGGATGCAATTTCCTCCCCAGAAGATATGGAATTCCAAGAACGCGCCGCCGAGTGGACTATTGGTGTTGTTGACGCTTTCAAGAAACACGGCATTGCACTCAGGAGAACTGCACAAGCAACCTATGCAGATTTCCCTCCTGAATTTCGTGATGAGGTCGAGAAGGCGCGTGCAAAAGTCTATCAAGTTGAATGGAACAAACTAGCGGTGGACATCCAAATTTGGATTAAGGCACATCCATATCAAACAGCATTTTATGTTGTGAATGGAATCGTATTTTTCGCTCCAGCTGCATCTAGTGGTCCGATTCTTTGGGTCTTAGGATTTTCGGGCAAAGGTCCAAGGGCTGGTAAGTAGGCAGTCCCCAAATAGTTATGGCGCTAACTTTCTGAATAGCTTCATTTGCATCGATATTACAGAGAAAATATGGCACGGTCAGTGCGAAGGACATTTATGACCATGCTCAAAGTGCTGTCATGGGAGGTTATGGAGCTACTGCTGTAGACCTGGTAACAAAACTTTTTGTTGCTGCAAGTAGTCTTTTTGGTGAGATGTGGGGATCGCGGAATACAAGTAGGAAATTTACTTCGAAGCTGTGAATTTATACTCGAAGTCGATAGTATCGTTAGTACCAAAGTTTCAATCTCACGCTGCTATTTGGACATTGCAGGTTTCATGGGCCAATTCCCGCTCTCCTGAACCTTTTTCCCCCCCTTGAAATATATCCCAAGACGTTATTTATCTTAACCACCATAAACGACTGAGGAAGACGTATTGATCATAATTTTCAAAATTGAGAAACCTGAATAGTCTTAGTAACTGCTGGCGTTGAGATAAGGTTTCTGGCGGTTATTCTGCTGAGACCCAGATTATCAACCAATGAGACCTTTTGGCTACTTACGATCTTGGGGAAGAACAAGACTACCTAGTCAGTATATGCTATCGCAAATAGGGATACAAAAATGCAAACACTCTTCAACGTTTTATATCTGATCAGATAATAATCAGTTCAGATTATAAGCTGAACGAACATATTCAAACTATTTAATCTTTGATATGTCCTATGTCAATCCACATTCAAACACAGTATATCATTTCACTCTATCGAGATCTCAGGATCTTCCAGTGTGTAACTCTAATTTAGTGATTGGTTGTGGAGATCATCTAATCGTGAACGCGCATAAGGCTAGAAACAGGACGAAGTAACCTTACTTTTTCTTGTGTTTGACGCCATGAAACATTCGCTTGCACATTTGATTCTTTGTTTATCCAGCTTCGTTTGATTCAAGAAAACACGTCTAGACCAGTTCGTATGAACTATCTTTTTCTGGCTTAAATCTTTACACCTACTACGATCATGGTACTGCTCTCCAAATTCATGACCTGGCTTCTCGTAGCAAGTACGGCTATCTCAACTCAAGCTGGCAATGATAAATGCTCTACCGATCAAGATCTCTCATCTTACGATCTTGTCGAGCTCCAAGCTCTACGCTCAGAATGGACAACTGGTGTCGACATAGCTTTCAAGGAGCATGGCGTTATAATTCAAGAGCCTACAGACGCGGAACTTGCATTGATTCCGGAAACCTTTCGAAAGGAGGCAAAAGAAGAGCATGCTAAATGATACAAAATTGAGTGGGAGCATCTGCCAAACAGACTTAAGAACTGGATTTTGGAACATCCCTGGCAAACGGCCTTCCATATTGTAAATGGAGTAGTTCTCTTTACGCCAGCTGGAGCAAGTGGGTTAGTCCTCAGGGCACTAGGCTTCACTTCAAGAGGACCACAAGCTGGCAAGTGAGAAAGATGACTATGAAATTACTTGAACCTAATTCTTGATAGCATCCTTTGCATCGTTTCTGCAAAGTAAAATCGGTTTGGTGGCGGCAAAGAGTTGGTTCGCACTGTTTCAAAGCGCGCCCATGGGTGGTTGGGGATCACCTATTGTGAATACGGCTACACAGTTCGGAGCTCTTGCAAATAGCTTCGTTGCTGCAGCTTGGGAGTGGAGTCATGGGAATAGTACGGCGTAGACTGAACATCTGAGGAGAAGGCAACGCTTTGAAGCATGATGAAAGCAGCTTTGGAAAAGTCGGCAGCAAAAGGTTCTGTCGTGGTCTAGGAAGACAGGCCGCTTGATATTACATATTGAACCTTTCTTTTTCGTTTGTCAGATATGCAGCTGTCTATATCTAAATATGCTAGCTGCTGAATCACGAATAATATCTCACTTCTTGGCCAGCCCAGTAAGAAGGAATTTTGGTAAATTCTGCAAACTCCAGATAGTTTTGAAAATAGCAAAACACAAATAAGAAAAGAAGGTCACCAGCCGCTGAATTTCACGCCACTAGCTCGCTTCTATGGAACACTCTCTCAAAATCTGCCGAGTTCTTTCACCTTCACTTCCGATATAAAATAAATATCATTTTCGAAATAATTGATTCTTTCAAAATTCCCCCAAACTTCAAACCATCTTTTACAAACGCTCAAAAATGTCTCGATTCCTTAAACCTATCGTATTGCTCCTTGTAGCAATCATTTCTATCTCTCTCTACCAAGCCATCAAAAAGTGCAAACAACCCCCTCCAACCCTCTCCGAAATCATCATGTCATACATCCAGGAACACCCATTCAGATGCGCACTCCATGCCATTAACCTACTTACTTTCTTCACCCCCACTACAGCGGGTACCTCATTCCTCTATCAATCAGATTTTGCTCATCTCAGGCCTGGAGCACGTAAGTAAGCCGAAGAGTTCGAAGGCATATTCTGAAGCTGACGTTCTCACAGTATTCATTGCGTCAATATCTCAGAGCATCTTCGGCAACGTCGCTACCAGAAGTTTGTTTGCGTATTTGCAGAGTGCTGCTATGAGTGGGTATGTTCTTGGTGCTTTTAACATAGTGGTACGATCTGTTTCGGGTGTTGGAAGCGTTGTTAGATTTTGCTGGGGAGGAAAATCAGTCCGGGGTAATCATATTAGTGCCTGCGTGCAAGATTTTGTTGGAGATTTATCTCTCTGTGTGTTTTTGGTTTTAGCTGTCTGGGTTCTGATTAAAATCGGAATAATGGGATACAGATTACTTCATGGTGTGATGCATCCTGTTGGTATTCATACTGAGCAGATGTTGGGAGAAGCAGGGGAGTAACAATGATCATTCTTTTTCATCAAATTAGTGTGGCAAGCGCATGGCAAACGTCACTCGACCGATGAAAAAGGAAGTTATTTACTTCTCGGGGAATAAGCAATCATCGCATTTAACCTACATGAGAGACTACATTATATGCATGGACTCGCCGTTCCCTGTGTATATGTTATAACGCGGCTGAACTCGTTTGTAGATGCCTCAGTCCATACACCTAAGGGCTAGTTTGGATGTACAAATCCGCACTGAATTCGCTGAATATTCCATACTTTTTAAAAATAGATTTTGAATTTATATTTGAATATCAAATCACGGATTCTATTGAATAATCTATATTTCAATAAATTTAATATATTTTGAAGTAGGGAGGGAATAAATCATTTTAAAATGATACTAAATAATTCATGTTTTCTAATAAATTTATATAGGAAAATGAAAATGTGGATTGAAAATGAGAATTAGAAAAAACTGATCTTGTTTTTAATTCAACAAATAATCTGTGTTTTTTTAGGCTTTTATAAATCTTTTATTTTATATTTATATAATATTATAGTAATATTAGTGCTTCAAATATCTAAATTTATAGAGTATCTTTATTTTTCTTTAAATTATCTTTAATTTCAATTTAGATTATTTTATATTTTTATTCTCTATATATTAGAATATATATAATTTAATTTAAAAGTAGATTTTTTAATATTCTTTTTATTATATTATTAAATTGTATTATTAATTTAAATTATAATAAATCGCCTTTTTTTTATTCATAATGAGCAATAATGAGATTGATAAAGTTAATCAATTTATTTTTATTTTAATATATAATTTAGTTTCTATTATTAGCTTTTTTTATTTTATTTCAATCTTAAAAAAAAGGATTAGTATTCCTAATAAATTTAAAATATAATCTCTTTTTAATTCTAAATATCCTCAATATTATCAAAAACAATTGTATATATTTCTATACACTTTTCGATTTTTGATTAATTTTTATTACAAAAAAACAAAGTTATAATATTCTCAATATATTTTAATTAATCAAAAACTATATATATTTCTATATATCATAAATCAGTATAAAACTATATATAATATAACCAAAGCTTTTTTTTATTCTAAAAAAATAATTTATAGGTATAAAAAACATTTTATATAAATCTATTTATTAATTTATTCTAATATATTTTAAAATAATTTTATTAAATTTTAAATATTATAATAATATTATATTCATTAATAATAAAATTACTAAATTTAATTACACAAATCACTTTTTTTTAAATAATAGAAGATAAAAAATATTATAAATATTTTATGAATTATCTAAGTATTTTCGATAATATCTTTATTCTAATAATAATATTTTTTAAAGATTAATTCATTTATTTCAATTGTAAGAAATATATTATATAAAATATTCTTATAGTAATTACTTTCAATTTATAATTCTACTATATATTAACTGATTAAAAAGATTCTGCAAATAATTAAAAAATACTTTCAAATATTTTGATTTCAAAAAATTTATAAATTCTAAAAGATTATTATTATCTAAATAATATAGAATATATAAATACTAAATAGATTTTTACTCCATTCAAAAAAATAAAATATTATTTATAAGAATAATTAGAATCTAATAAAATATTCAAAATATCAAAAAAGCTTTTCAATCTTCAATATTCTTTTTTATAAAATAAAATTAAAAGAATTTTTAAAGTATTCAAAATATATTTTTCATTTCTAATATAATAATAAAAATATATATAGTTTATACTTTATATATTCTATATAATTTTATTCAACAAAATAGCTTTAAAGAAAATCTATTCGAAATTTAATTTAATTATATTATTAATTATCTTTCAAGTATTATAAATAATATAATAATGAATTCAAATAATAACAAATTAGATTTTATTTTATTCTAATTTATAAATTATTTTTAATAAAGAGTTGTAGAGACTATATAAAGAAATTATTATAAAATAAAAAGAGTTCAAAAAATATAAAATAAAAAAAGGTAATATCATTTTGAAATAGAATTTGATAAATATATATAATTAGAATAAAAAGTAATTATTAAAGTTTCTTTATTTATTATTATCTTTTATTAAAACTTTTAATATTTCTTCAAATTCTTTTAAAAATTGAAATAAATCTTTTTTCTATTTTATATAATAAAATAGATTCTAAATTTACTTATATTTTATTCTATCTTTAGAAATCCAAAATTTATATTTTTTTGAATTATAACTTTTATTAAAGATCTATTATTCTTTAGATTCAGAAAGTTTAATATTATACTCTTCTTTTAGTTTCAAAATATCAGAATTTCAAAAAATAAGATTTCTTCAAATAATATATTATCAATAATTAAATATTTTATAAAAGAATTTATTAGAATATAAATATATTTTATTAATATATTAATAATTTAAAAGAATAGTAAATAAGAAAAAAAAATAAAAAAAAATTAGAAAGAAATAATTAAAAAAAAAAAAAAAATAAATCTATTCAAATAAATTTTTTATTTATATAAAATCTGAAGATTTTTTATTAGTTTTATTATTTAGATTTTTCAAACTTGTTATAAATTATTTTATATTAACTTTCTAAACTCTAATTTAAATCAAAATTCTAAAAAGTCTAATTATCTAAACTTATTTATTAATATTTTAAAAAATTAATAAATATTGAATTATTTTTATATTTATTTTAATTTTTAATTGATATTCAAATATTTTAAATTAATCTTTTCAAGCTCTCTAATTTTATTATTATCTTTTTTATTTTTAGATTTCTATTCTTTTTTTTCCTTTTTTTTTTCTATATCAATATCAATTTCCTAATTTTCAAAATCTATTTCAGAATTATTTAATTTGAATTTCGATATAAAGTTATTATTATTTTGAATAAGATTTTTTACTTTCAAAACTTTTTTAAATAAAATTAATTAAAATCAGATTTTTTTTGGATTTATATATTGGGATTATTATATTTTAATATTTAATCAAATTTATACAATTATTTTATTTTATTTATTCTTCAATACTTTTAAATAATTAAAAATCTTATAAAACATTTTTAAAATATAAGAAATCTAATACTTTTTTTTATCTTTTTTTTTTTTAATTTTTAATTCTTTAGAAATCATTTTTACTTTTTGATTATATATATTTCTAGTTTTTCACTTTTGTGAATATTCTTTTTGCTTTCCCTATATCTTTTTTTATTAAATTTAGTAACTCTTAGTATTTTTTTGATTCTTTAAAGTTTAAAAGAATTTCAATATTTTCAGTATAAAATTTATTATAATTAAAAATATATTATTTATATTTATAATATTTTCGGATTTGAAATAATTATATTCTATAAAAATAAATATTATAATTAATTGAAATATATAATATATAATATATAAATCCACAAATATATATTTTTAATCTTTTAATTTTTAATATTTATTTCTTTTGAATTCTATTTTTGAAACTTTTTAAATATAAATTTCTTGAATAATTGAAATCTTTTTTATAATAAACTGAAATAATTCAAATATAAATCTTAAAAGCTTTATATTCCAGATAATCCTATATCTGTAATATAAATTACAAATGTATTATATAAAGAAGCTATATTATATATTAATCTTGGAAAGAGATTAATGAATAAATAAAAACTAGGTATAAATAGAAAATCACTTTTTTTTAAAAATAAGAATATAAAGAAAATTTTGAAAGTAAAGATTTAAAGTATAAGAAAGCAGTCTAAAAAAGAAGAAATAAAAATTGCTAAAAAAGTTTATTAATAGAAAATAGAAAGTAAATAAATATATTTTTGTTTTAAACTTCTTTTTTATTAATTAGATATAATTATTATATTATAAAAGATTAAAAAGTATTAAAAATCAATTAAATTATTTTTAAAAAAAGCTTCTTTTCAATACTTAATTAAAAAGATTTCAAATCAATTTATATATATAAAAGAATATTAAAGATAAAATACTATTATTTTTATAATAATTTAAGAGGTAGCTGAATTTTTTATAGTTATTTATTTCGAAAGTATATTTTCTATTCTTTTTATTTATTGGTTAAATAAATTATTGATTTAATTTATAATATTATAATATTATGTATTTTATATAAAGAAACAAATTATCAAAGATATCAATAGTATTTTTCTTTAAAGAATAATGGAACTAGTAATCCTTATTATTAGTAGATATTATACTTTGAGAGGCTAAACTTTATTATTTTCTTATTAACTATTTCTCATTAGCTATTTCTTATTAGTCATTTCTCACTTACTTAGCTCTATATATTTATTTTATTTATTTTATATATCTTTGGTTAGTGAATAGGTATTGAAGATATTTATATATTATTAATATTAAATAAAATAATAGTATTAAGAAATATAATATTAATATTTAATTGAATGAATATAAAGATTATATTAACAAAAATATATAATAAAGAAAATAGAATTATTAAATTAAAAGTTATTAAAACTTAAAAATTATTCTTTATTTATAGTTTATTATAAAAAAACAAATAATATATAAATTTCCTTTTTTTCCTTTTTGTATTGTTTTTTAAACTCTTTATAAATCTTATTTACAAACTCTACTTAAAATAGGTCTATGTGTATAAATATTAGTAATTTATTATAAAATTAATATACATTAAATACTAAATATTATAAGAAATCAATAAGTTTAAAAACTATATCAATTTCTAGAACCTTATACTTGCTAGGGTAGTTTTATGTGATTATATAGTATGCTTAATATCAAAAGGATAATGAATTATTAATTTGAATATATGAAATATTAAAATAATTTTTCAATTTATTAAAATCTTTTAAAAATTTATTTATATAAAATAAATTATTTACAATTTCAGAAAAAATAGTTTTTTGAGATTTTTTTAATAATATATAGTTTACAATAGATTATTTATATTACTTTATTTTTAATTTTAAATTAATTAATAATAAAATATATTTCAAGAATATAAATCTTTTATTTTGTATATTCCAAAACTATGTTTATTCCATCTTTTAATACTTTTATTTGAGAAAGATATAGAACAAATTGAATTAATAAGATTATCCTTTTTATCCAATAAAATAATTATTAATTATATTAAAGCTATAGGGTAATATACAAATTTACTATTAGCTATACAAGTTTCAAATAGAAATTGAAGAATTAATTAGTTTTCTATATAGTAATTCTAATACTAATAATATTTTCGATTATTAGTTTTATTTGCTTATAGAAGCATTTTTTATAGATAATTAAATATATAAGGCTGTATAATATCTATTTTTTTATTAAAATCTAATATTCCAATTAAATAAATTAAAAAGATATTAATATTCTATATAACATCCCTTGATCTAAATAAAACTAATTAAATCAAATAAATAATATAAAAAGAGAAGATCTATATTGATATGATTTTCTTTTAATTTGATTATTAATTAGATTCTCAATATTATTAATATTGATTAATACTTTAAAGAAATAGCTTATACAAATTGATTATAATAAAAAGTTCTTTATTTAATAAATTAATCTAATTGTTAATTAGTTTTTTGTAAATAAATTTGCATTAAGTTTAAAAGAAACTTTTCATAGAATTTCCATTTGAATTGATTTATAGATTTCTTCAAAATATTTTTGGTTTTAGTTTTTGAATCCATTAATTTATTCTTTTTTTTAATAGTATTGATAAAAAAACTCTCTTTACTTTCTAAATTATTATAAATATTGTATTTTGGATTTTAATTAGTAATATAGTTATTATTATTATTCTTTTCATTGTTATTATTCTTATTATTATTTATATTGATATTTGTAGAGAGTATTTCATTAATTTTGGAATTCTGTTATATATTATAAATTAATATAATTAAAATAAGTTTTATTTGAATAAAATATTTGTATATAATTCTTCTTTTTTAAAGAGAATATTTTCTTTTGATTAAAAATAATGTTATTATTATAAAAAAAACTGAATAATAAATCTTTAATGAAAAAAGAAAGAAAGATATTATAATCTCAAAGTTGATTTTGAGATTCATTTACTTTTATTATAAATTTAAACTTTTATTTGAAATAATAAATTAAAAAAGAAAAACTTCAAATTCTATTTCAGAAGTTTTTATCTCTTTTTTATATAAATATAAATTTTCAATTATTATTGTTATTAATAATTTTCGATTTTCTAGATATTTTTGAAATGTTTTGAATAGTAATTATATTATTGGTTATTGAAATAATTATAAAAAATAGCTTTAAAAACATTTTAAAATAGATTCTTTTTTTGAAAAGAAAAGAAAAAAAAAAGATAAAATCAAAATGTATTTCTTTTATAATTCTAAATACTTTTTCAAAATTATTATTTATAAAAACTTTTTATATAATTTTTAATATTAAATATAAGTTTTTAATATTAAATTAAAATTTAAATTAAATATTTTAAAAAAACTATGGATTATTTAGTGGATTTAATATATAAATTATAAAACCACAGATCAATAATCCACTCTTTTTGAAGTGGATTACTACCACTGCAAAATCCGTAGTAACATAAAAAACGGATTATTTCAGCGGATTCAGTGTGGATTTTGCAATCAAACGAGCCCTAAATCCCAAGAATTCACAGGAATCTCCCCACACACACTTTTACCATCTATAGAAACACTCAAAATATCAAAGGTAAACCTCACTCCTGAAGAAAAATTAAATCCTCATCTACAGAAAACGTATTTATGAAATCCGCGATAGGATCTTTCAAACCCAGAAGCCAGAAATCTTAAAATAGGCTTTAGTCCAGAATAATGCAGAGACTCCATTCAAGGGGAACACTTCATGCTTTCAAGAGCATTGATTTGTCACATACAAAGGTGTAGGGACAATGCTCTGGGAGCGAGACTCCTGATTATTCAAGTAGAGAAAGTTCGTAGGAACCTCAATATTCGGCACAGGCTCTCGAGAGGCTGCAGCATCTCACACTTCAATAGACCTCCAGTATATGCAGCCCTTACAACAACATTCTTTGCTTCAAATTCCTACAGATGGAGAATTGTACTTAAAATTATGGTTACACACTAACATGTATGTCCAACCTCCTATCTTCCAATTATCAGACCCTTCTTACTCGAGATTCTTAAGACTCCATAATATATACAAAAAAGGCTTAGTGGACTACCCCAAACCTTCGTCTCAGCTAATCATCCATCTCAGCGCACTTCAATATATACAAAAAACAGATTCGCTCAAATCAAACATCATAATTCATATCCACATCTCTTAAATCACCGCTCAATAAGTAGCATAACTCATCAAAGCAGGCTCATTAGTAATCCTCTTTTCGTACGCAAAAATATTCAGCGCTACCAGCGGAATCAACGCTTCAATCTCAATCACATCAGCCAAGCTGATTCCCGGCGCAACAAGATTCCTACACTGATCGCTAACGCGATCAAACGATCCCGGCCCTTCATTTTGCAACGCATCTGTTACCAATGCATATGCGACGGGATTGAATAATACACCAGCATGGGTATACAGCGTTCCGGCTGGAAGTCCCAAGCATGCTCCTTGAAGAAAGGTATTTGAAGCGCCGACGCCACGAGCATCTTGCAGGAAGCCCGAGGCAGCGGTTCCGCTTTGCGGTTGGACGATTTCATCTGTGACGGAATAGACGGTAGTGGTGGGTACATAAGCTGAATCACCGTTGTTGGAGCGGAGTCTATTGACGAAATTGGATTGGTATTGTTGTTGGAGGACGGAAGGAGTACACGCAATGTCGTTTCCGCTTTCGAATCCGGGACAGAGAATGTAAGCTAAGATGGTACCATGGTAATCAGGTGAGATGGCGATGTGGTCTGTGACAGTTTTTGGGATTGATGGCCAGTATTCTGGGAGGGTTTGTTAGCTGGATATCTGGGAGAGTTTATTGGGAAATACTAACTAAAGGCCCATTGAGCATTGAGAGATCCTTGAGACCATGTGACGATAGCAACTTTTCGCGAAGTCATGGCATAGAAGTATTGAAGCGCGTAAGCTACATATTCTGCATTGGTCTGTGCATCGTCAAGCAAAGCGAATGGTATGTTCAAATAGACCGGGTCGGCATAGTCAGTTGTAGCAAGAAGTTTGCCTATATTAGAAGCATACGTGCCATAGCCAAATGCGCCCGTGCCAGGTGACATGATAACGGGTTGCTTCTTTCCCCAGGTAAATCCAGGAGGAATGTAGATTGCAGCCCTGAGAGTTTTTTCGTCGACAGAAAATCGTGCATTGCCATATACGTTATTGTAAAATCTCTTGTTGGGAGGCACTGGATTATTGGCATTATTGACAGAGTTGCTAGATGGGCTCTGTAGAGAATCAGTGTTGTAACATATCTCAAAACAGTCCATGACTTACAGCACCAGACGCGACAGCTTGTAGATCACTAGAAGTGAAACCATTAAGAACAAGTTCCAAAGCATTTGAGAGAATATTTGCTGGTGGAGTTGGGGAAGCAGAAGGATCAGATACACCCCAAGCACCAGCTGCCCAACTTAATGCTTCAGAAACACTACTTGGTTTGGCTGTAGGTTGAGTAGCCGAAAATAACTTCTTAGCAATTACTGGTACATCGGTGCCCAAAATCGTTCCATTTGCAATTGCCTCTGTGTCATGTCAATAAAATTATCTTTGTCTGATGAGATGTAGTTTACACACCTACTACCAGATTCGCAGCGGTCAACACTTTCCCACTGTCAGATAACACTGCGGGAATGGCCGAGGACAAACTACCAATGTCGAGGACTGAATTCCCGATGCTTGACACAAGGCCTGTTACGGGATCTCCTATAAGTTGTGGTCGTGGGAAAGGTGCTGGAGCCGGTGCTGGCGCTGCCAGGAGTAAAGGCGCAGTTATAATTGCGAGGAATGCATGTAGATACATCGTTTTTCTGTGCAATCGTTGATATTTGATGAAGTGTCTGAGCGGAGAATTAAATTATTAAACGTGACAGTGGAAACGTGCATGAAGGATATGAATTGAAATTCTGATAAGAGATGAGAAATGGGGCAATATAACACATCTGCTTGATGTATTGTACAGTGAGATCGGAGATTTCACTGTCATGAGGCGCTCCACGATTTCCGGTTCATTATGAATTTTCGCTTCAGCGACAATACACTTGATCGTCATGGGTAATAAGTGTATTGGGGCTCATTCCACGGCATAATCGAGGCGAACGCTCGATGAATTAATTGCACCCACCCCCGTCTTTAATAAGGATCAGCGAGTGGATGTTGTCCCAATTCGATGGGGTTGAACTGAAAATAGTTAGACGTGCGGAACAAAGGTGAGCTAACCCAACTGGCGTTGTCTGGCTACATCGTATTTGGCTAAGGGGCACGGAGAGAATATTAGCGAGCAAAGAGCCATGATGTATATGGCCGCCACGGATAAGAATTAATCTAAATGTCCAATACTCAACATTGAGATGAAATTAACGGAAGGTTTTAAAAGAGGTTCTTTCCGTAGATTTGAGTAGTTGGGTGGGGTATGAAGAAACTATCTCTCATACAGTAATACTCGTATATCAACTCTAAAATCAATATGTCTTCGACATCCAAAGTGGAGAAGCGGATGGTAAATGAAATAAGGGACCTCTTGGCATCACGGTACTGTAGATCCGGTGCCTCATCGTCATTCGAATTGGTGGTTATATTGTCGAAATCGTAAAGTGTTAGACAATCTGTCAACGGCTATGACAGTTTGTGTCTCGTTTTGATATACATACTTTGCATGTCATCATTCCCAGATCGACAAGTAACACTCGACAAGCTTCGAATTCTGCTGCTGTTCAATTGGCATCAAAAAGCCATTAGTTTCGCTCGTCAGTGGTGACTGGTCTGGCTTCTTATCGATGATAGCATCGACCTTCATCGTAACCAGGAGGGGTTCGACGACCTCGGTATTAATGGATACCAGTTATGACTAGTGATATGGAACGGATCTCCCTTATATACCTCAAATCCAGATACATAAGCCTTTTCTTGCTGGAGCTTTCCAACATGAATATGAGGAATAATGGAGCCAAAGCACTACTCCGCATGTGTGGCCTCACAATCTCATCTAGAGGCACATATCTTCATCCATCATTCGATCTCACATTGAATTGAAATGAGATGTTCTAGAAGCGGTCCTTCTTCACAAGGACAGCCACACAAAAAGTAGGTCTCATTGGTTTCCAAAAAAAAATGCAGGGGCGGTTTTATTCACATGAGATAATGATCGTGTACAAGTGTGAAATTTATAAATTGTATTCTGTTTATCTAACTAAATATTACACACTTACCGTGTTGCATCGTGCTCAGAATAGCATCTATTTCCAGGCGGCTCGCCAACCACTGGTTGGTAGTATACTGGCCTGGATGGATCCGCAAAGCTGCAGCGCAATTATACTCCCTCAACCAACTGAAAATAATCCTGAAGCTCATCGTGGAATTGCTTTTATGATGTTCAATCGTGAGTCAACGCTCGGTAGGGCTGCAGAGCAGTGTTAGATTGTGCAAAGTTATGCGAAGTAACTGACGTTCAAGATAGTTTTCATGCCACTGTAGGCGATTGTCTGGGGCTTCCATTCGATGAAGATTCCTGAATACATTGTCAGCAAGTGATCATGATCATGTTATGTTATGACAAGATAGTAGAATTGAAAGCATTCAGGAAAAAATTAGAGTTGTTGTTTTTTGGTCTTCAGGGTGCGATGCACTCGGGGTTAAAAAGCTATGATTTGTTCATCACAAAGCTCATAGATGGTGTACAATATGAAAAAGATAATTGCGACTAACCTTACTTGAGTTCTGGTGTTCAGCGAACATGTGCTGGAAGTCGAAGTAGTAAATTGATGGAAATATCGGCGCGAAATGGTGGAGAAGGTTACCAGTTCGACCTCACCACCTGCAGTACCTTTGTTATACCATTTCTATGCGCATTAGAAAGATGGCACAAGTTGCATTGTGTTCATTCAACGGGTGATGAATCTGATTGTATTTGAGAAGAAGAAAAAGAAAAAGAAGAAGAAGAATGAACCAGAACTTTTAAATTTACTCACCTAGCTTTGTAGGCTAGCGGGTGAGGGGCCGCTTCAAGCTTCCATGACATAATCAGCTCCACCGTCTGCACATGATCAGGATTTCAGTGTCATTTTGGCTGCATTGCTGGAGCAGGTACTAAAGGAGCCGAAGGTTTGACAAAGGATGATACAGTGTCGTTGAATACTTACTTACCAACCAATTTATACAGACACAAAAGCTGTAACGATGTTGCTAGGGCAAAATCTAGCAAGAATTCTGATCAAAACTCATCACATGACATCCGTCAAAAAGATTGAAAAGATAACCAAATCAGCGAAGAGATTAGACTGTGCAGTATTGTTAAAGACTGGAAGACCGCCCGGAGTTATGCTTGCGGAAGGTGAAATTGGGAATGCAGAACAATGGTTAGATGTTGTGAAGGTGGGTTAATTCGCGTGCAATTTCTTAGGATAGGAATCAAATTGTCTGATTAAGAAATGGATCATAATTGAGATACGAATGAACAGCTGATGGTGTATTGAAAATACAGAATCTGAGGTACAAGAACTTCGAATTGATGAAAAAAGAAGAGGTAGATGGGAGGAGGTTAGATGTACCTGCTGGAAAGGTTAAGCAAATGGAGAGTTTAAAGGAATATGGGATAGAGGTTGGGAAAGACGAGGAATTGAGAAAGTGGTGGAGGTTACACATGGGCTTTATGAAAGGAGAAGATGAATAATGATGGAATTAACGAGGTATAAGGGGATGGTATGATTCTGTGACATTCACTCGACCTGGAAAACACAGCCAAGCGAAAATGGTGTGGTCTCGATGCACTTAAGGGATGACTCAAAGTTCTTACTCTCTTATACAACATCTTATAACCGTCGTCAATTCCTCTCGAGAGTACTCAATTAGCAAACTCGGAGAGAAGTTCTAAGATGGACCCCAGCAACTCTGCTCCTACGACGGCATGGCCTAGGTTGAATGAAACCTCATCAGACTCACCTATCATCCTAGAGCAACCCCTCACCGCGGTATCATTGCCAACACGCAACTCTATATGGGTCGATGAAGATGTCTCGACCGCTTATCCTCAAACTGCACGTCCTAGAGAAGATCTCCTTGCATCATTCTTTCCATCGGACTCACCTCCGGCGACAGCTAGACAAGCTCCAATTCAATCTTATCCATTGGCGTACCCTCTCGCACCTGGCTCTAAACAAGCGCTTCCAGTACTAGAACCTACAACCCAGAATGATAGGAGGGTATCCTCCAAGTACTCAGAATACGATGACATTCCTGTACCTCTTTCTGCGCGCTTTCAGCGGGACTTGCAAGAAATGATTGGTTCTCCATCTTCGATATATCCTGATAGCGCTTTACCCGACCCCCTTCATATCTCTCGAGATTTCCCCCCTAAAGCTTCGGCATATCAAGGAGATAGGCATCCTGAACCTTCCCGCTCACCTAAGTCGATTCGCCTTTCAGAACTCACTCAATCTCCCGTGGGCGAGGGCACATCGGAACTTTTCCCGGAATATACAGAAGATATACGCCCAGGTGAATCTACACATAATATTGTTCCAACAATAAATGTCCTACCCCAAAGTCCCCAACAACCAGATGTTCAGAATTCTCATTCTCAGAAGTACCAACCGCAATTATTAGCACCTCCCAGATCGTCTAAACCAAAATCTCAAAGACGAACCACCAGATCATCGTCTATAATCAATGGTCTTGACCAAGGAATCTACAGACCTTTGTCTAAACCACCCCAGAATCGAGATCTCTTCTACGCAACCCAGAAAGATGACAGTAGATTCAGTCGACACCATCCCTCGAGCAAAAAATACATTCATCGGAAAAGAGCCAGCTCCCTAGAGCGCACCTCCGTACCCACCGATCCCAGAGTCGCCAAACTCTGGGACGAACGAATCAACGCCGGTCACCAACCATTCACACCCAGCGATACAATCCCTACATATCAAGAATTCCGACGAACAACTCAACGTGTAGATTCGCCTAGTTCAGACAGATTCCCCCTCCCTGCTTCAGCACTCTCTCAATACGAAGACATTCCACCTCATCTCAGACCTACCCGCGAATCAGATTTCAGATTCGATCCGAAGCTGGTGCAGGAAATATACGAAGAGAGATGGAAAATTTCCGAGGGCTATGAGAATTTGCAGGCATATTTTAGTGATCCCAAAGAAGGTCCTTACAAACACCTTAATATCAAGGAATGGGTTGAGCTTTTTGAATACTTGGAAGAGAGAGACCGGAAAGCGACAGAACGAGAGATTATTTTTGAGTTGAGGGCTATTTAGAAAGACGTTGGGTTTCAGCGATGAGGGCTGTGATATTGTTGCTTGCCAAGTTGAATGGGTATCTCAAAGAGCTGATCAGAAGGAGGGGAGTTTATTCTCGCTCAACCCATAATAATCGATGATTTATTTTGTTTTATGTTGACTTTTGCGGATGTTTTCATGCTATTATGTGTTTTGCTAGATCTGATTTTTTCCCTTCAAGCCGTCTCTGAATGCACTGGCTGTCACATGCTGATGATCTCCCTTTCCATATATGATTGCCAGTTTCTTTATCAGATTGCAGGCATCAAACCCTTCCATAAATCTTGTAAGTGGGTTTGCCATAGTATGAGCAAACTTTTTTCCATCCAAAGTTCCATCACATGAACCTTTCTTGGACGAGAAGGAATATTCTTTCTAAATGTTTGACGGTCAGAGGACACCACCATGCTTCTAACTTTCCATGACCTGTAAAGTCTGGTGAACCAGGTAAAAGTCACCTCATAAAAGCACCAGTCATTCCCATCTCAGACTCATTCCAAACTCCTCTTTGGAATCAGAGCTTCGCGCAATATCATCAAGATTAAATCGACTCTTCCACACATCAAACTCTGAACCATGAACGCCGTCCGCAACCTCTTTCCCCATCCCCACACTTTCTTTCCAAGTTATTATCGACAGAGCAGCAATACTGGTAAACCGTACCATCATGTCCCAGGATGGTATTATCGTCCAGAATCTGCTACCTCGCCTATCAAACTCTCGTCCGAGGATATCAATAACTCTCCACGACGACGACAACGACAGCAGAGAAACAACTATGAATACAGCCCTAGCCTATCAGTTAACAAAAGGGAGAATACGAGAAGCAGAAGGAGAGATGAAGCGGATTTTTCAAGACCTGGAAGAACTGAAGATTTTTCAAAAAGACTAGGTGAAGGAAATGGGGTCTTCGCAGCCACAAAAAATGGCAGGAAGGGTATCGAGGATATGGAAAGAGAGAGAGGGGTAGAGTTGGAAATTGAGATTCAGAGGAGGATTGAAAGGATAATGGAAATGCGGGACGCGATAGCTCGAGAGCAGGATAGAATCGAAGATGAGTGGATATTTCTTGAGAGAGCGTGGGAAGTATTGGGAGAGTGTAGGGGTATGAATCTGGAGAGAGAGAGAGATTTTAGAGAATGGGTTTTGGCGGAAAGAAATTTGAATGGAGGAAGTGATCGACAATACAGAGGGTGGAATGAAGGGAGACGGGAGGATGCGGATGCTGGCAGTCCAGATACGAGGGGGTTGTATTAGGTCGGGAAGGAAGAAGAACGAGGGGAGATTTCTCCCTGTAATCTGCCGTGAGTGAATCTAAATTCTTTGTCAGATCTTCCATTCGAAGTCAAGATTGGGTTGATGGTTTCTGATGAGGTACTCCACTATACTACCAGAGAACCAAAGGGGTCAATTGCTCTGAGTGTGCAGCTATCGAGCCGTGTACAACTCAAACATCCGTACACTGAAGATACGACCATATCCTCATCTCAACAGCTGCAGCATCTGCGATCTTCAAACTTGAAGTTCTATGTAGTTGCCTATATACCACATCTTCCGCAACACAACCACAAACCAAAAGAACTTCCAGGTCCCCAGCTCCCAGGCCATATCAGACAATTCAACCATCTTCCAAAAAGATTGATCACTTACCCCTCCATCCCCCTCCATCCCAGCACTCCAAAAGAAGCAAAATCTTAAAGCCCCTCAAAAGAAAAGAATCATGACGATCAACAAACTTATAACCTACAACCAACCTTCTCTCATCTGCAGCTACCTACCTACGTACAACAAAAAAGAAGCCTCAAAATCCGAACTTCCTTTTTCTAAAAGTAGGTAGGTAGCCTTGTATCGTACAATCTGGTTTCAACTACCTACCTAGCTAATGCATATTCACATTCATGCCTCAACTCAAACTTCACTTTACTTCAATTCAATCATGCATATATTCTCACATACATATTACATCACCTCACACACTCTACACATTCTTTCTAGACAGATATCAATTTCTTTCTTCACTTCCTTACCTCATCCACTTCTCTCCAAACTCCAAACTTCACTTCAAGCACTCATCATACTCCACTCCAAACCCATTACCAAAATTTGATCTTCACTCCTACTCCCACTTCACCTTCATCACATCAACAAACATCAAATCACATCACGCAGCAACTTCAAAAAAAGAAGGAAAGATTCACTTCACCTTCCAAGTCACGTAACCCCACCACAACCATAACGCCACAAATCAAATTCACTCAACTTCTTTTTCTGATCATCATCTCGCTAGTACGAGTACTTCATCAATTATAGTGTTTCCCCTCAGTAGCGCGCGTGTCAATACAGTATTATTTTTCTTTCACTTATTTTTCGTTTCCATCATAAAAGCATCTTGTCGGGAATTGTTTTTCTTCTTCTTCATTACAACCTTTCGTACGATTGCAAAAGATACCAGGAACGAATCCAGCTTTGCAAGTCACGACAAAGTGTAAACTTTTCCCCATTTCAACAACTTGTCAAACTTCAATAATTATCTTTGCACTGTGATAAGAATTGTCACACTTTGGATTCGATCATCTTATCATATCAATTAAACTTATTCTACCTATCAATACTTTGACGACAACAACAAAAAACAAAACATAAAACAATATCAAAATGGCTGCCCACAGAAGACAAAGATCTCATCTCCCTTCTCCACCAGTTTCCCCCTCCCAACAAACACCACGACCACTCCCTCTTCCAGCAGAGATGACGAGATACAAAACTTGGCAAACAGCTCGCTCAAGGTCTATGAATATCGCAGGTGTGCCAGTCCCACCTCTAGCACGTCGATCAGTGACAGCACCTGTGATCGGTACCACCTCCGAGAAATTCATATATTGTGACCGGAGTTCATCACCCGAATCCGAACTCGTCCCAAAGCCCGTAGTGAAACCCGAAGCGCCTAGTCGGTACACTACGTCGTACTACCATATTCTTGGACTACCAGAGAGTCCTGATGTTACCACCGAGGAGATTGAAGAGGCCTTTCAAAGGCTCGGTAAGATTTCCTTCCTCTTAACTCTATCTTAAAATTTCCTTCCAAGCAATTCTGATTCACTTGACTCCAAGCACACAAAATTCAAACTAACAATCTTCACAGTATCAAACCCATCTTCCCACCCATCACACAACTATGAAAATCTTGAGCAGATTCGTAAAACGCTCACTAGCTCCATCAGACGACGCACCTACGATCATGGTCGCCGTGCTCACTTACTACACCAGTCTCAACTGAAAGATCGGGAGCGTTTTGAAAAAAAGCGCCACAACTGTGACGATCTTCCAAAAGCTCCAAGAATCACTGCTCAAGAGATCAAGTCATTCACCGATGATATGAGGATGAAAAGTCTAGAGAGCGAATTGAAGATGGTGAAAAAAGAGGTGACGGCAACCTTTAAAAGGAAAGTCAAAAACATGGGACTGAGTTTGAGTTTGGATGGATTGGACGAGGAAGAGGGAGTACCTTGGGAGGAAATGGATTTTGGTACTAGGAGTTCCCAAATTGTGGGGGAAAGAATGGGCCTTGAATTCGAATTCAACGGGTCTGGTAGTGAGGACGATTCCGGGGATGAAGATGGATCTGAAGGCACGTTTTCAGACGGAGAGGAAGAACGAGAAGAACGAAAAGAGCCCGGAAGATCCGAAGAGTCTGAAGAAATCAAAAAGCTGGAGGAATTTGAAGAATTGTCTTTGTCTGCAATGACAGGACTATTCTCGAAGGTATCTTCTTGTGAACTCGAAAAGGCTGTGACTGCTCAAAAGATGGCTCCCAAAGATGATCAAGAAACATTGGATGTCAAGGAAGAAAGACTATCTGCGTCTGAAAAAGTGGTACCAGCTCCACAGGCAGATTCTCCCAACATCACAACGGCATCGCCCCCTGCAGAAATAACCTCGAAAAGCGAAAACGAGACGTCAGAAGTGAAGGACGCGGATGAGAGAATTCCAGATATCCCCAAAACGACTTCAGAAATAATCTCGATATCTGAATCCAACAGGGAATTTGTGGGAACTAAAATTGCAGCACGAGAAATGCCAGAAATCCCCAAACCCATCATAACAACCTCGACACTGCTGATCGACACCAATCTCCCCAACATCCTCAACATCGTCGAACTCCTATACCCAACCCCCCCTCCCTCCCCAGAAGCAAAGCCGAAAAAGAAAAAGCAAAAGAATGCCTGCAAAGAAATCTGGGAATTCGACTACAACACCGAATCTGAATGCGATTATCCTTCTGATGGGGATTCCGAGTCCGAGTCCGACACTAAGCCTTCTTCATCAAAGAAGCTCCAGATATTCCCCTCATCCTCCCTATCTCTCCTTCCCCCTCCAAGCCAAATCCACGAACTCCCCGGCTCCGAAATCTGGGAACACGATTACCCAAACCCCAACCCTGACCCCCATGCCTCCAGCGAACAAGAAAAGGAGGAAGAGCACGAAACCATAATTCTCTTCCTCCAATTTCTCATCGTTTTTGCCCTCGCGACTGCTGCGTGGGGTTGGTTTGGCGGGGGATGGGTTTTGAATTTGGTTTGGGTTTAAGGTTTGGGGAAGGGAATGAGAAGGGAATGAGGAGGGAATGAGAAGCTGATATTTGAAGAGAGAGAATCACATGAATCTGTAACGGGATAATGAGATAGGAAGGAACGACCTCCATGATACGAATCAAGAAGGGACAAAGGAAGGAAGGAGCAGCCAAATAATCGATCGAATAACATCAATAAATCGCACAGACCAGACAAGATGAAAATCTACCAAACAGAGCAGAGCAGGAAGGGACAGATACCGCAAAATTGTATAATTTGCGTATTGTATATCATATGGTATTGCGTATCAAGCGATGCTCAATTGCTTGGGTCTCAGGTTAGCTGGGATGGACATGGCTACAAAGATAGATGGATAGATTGGCTATAGATGAATATGAAGGGTATATGGATAATCACGGCAAACACAGATACAACATCAATATCATATACAACATCTGTAATGAACCCGGGCATTCACAATCAATCTCCAACAATGGAAATAAAATATACAAAAAGAAAACTTCTGTATCTCGTCTGTGAACCTTGTTCTTTTTGATTTCGTAAAATAATGCTCGTAAGTTCAAATCAACTAAGCCAATACAGGGTATCTCTACTTCAACTATTACCCACAGTTTTCATCTCATCCTACCCCGTTTCCCGCGCAATATTTTCATAGAAGTCTATCATGTAAATATCATTTCCATGTAACCATCTACTGGCATGTTTTCACACACCTCCTTCATATACTCTAGAATTAAGCGCCTAAGCCTTTTCCCCGTCACCATCAGGTGTATTCGTCCCCTTGGAATGCGACATGCTATATGGTGCCTGCGAAGGTGTTGGTCAATGCCTATTCTCTCTAAAGTTGATACTTTCTCCAATCTTGTCCGTCGAATTGCTTCGAATCGTTCCGTCTAAGCCCCAGGATATCATAGTAAAGGAAATAAAAATGGAAATAAAGATGGAAATGAAGGTGTATAAGAATTCCAAAACTAATCGCTCGTTCCGGCAGTCGATGTGTCGAATGAAATGAAAATAATGAAAAGTCGGAGAGAAAACTAAGTATTTTGACGTAATGAAGCTGGTCGAGAAAGTGACCTTGGACGAGTTTGAGAAAATCTGCATACCAATACCTGCTTCGCATTACAAATTCTCCAGGCCAAATTCCTCACATTTCCATCTGCTCTGACCACTTCAGGCGCGAATTCAATACCAAACATATAATGAACAGCATGGACTACGCGTCTTGGGTATTTTCCATCTCTTGCTACTAATACCCCGAAACTTTCATCTACAGAGTTAGGAGCAATATCTGGGTCTCGATCGAAGCAATTGCGCACTACAGGTAGTAAAGCTTGCTCGACTGCACTGCGAATGAGAGATTCGGATTGTAAGTTGTCAGAATCAAGGGAAATGTTTAAGTTTGAGTTTTCGTCGTCGAAGCGGGGAATGCGGATTTCGAATGGGAGAGAGATGGCCATAACATTGTGTTTGCCATCGTGGTGGTAACGGAATTCGAAAACTCCTTGGGTCCAGAAGAGTTTGTCGCCCTCAAAAATCATTTCTCCTTCCATGTAATCTTGAGTCGAGCCATCTGTACGTTTTGCGCCCGAAACAAACCTATTTGAAACGAGAATACCTTTATCTGCTGGACTGGATTCGTATTCATTAGGAACCGTGGCAACCCAACGACCCGCTGAAGGAATTCGTGTTACTTCTCGAGATGCATTGTCAGCTACCATATACATACCTACCCAATCAGCTTTACTGTGTTTTATTGGTGCTGTCCATTTAACTTTGATCGGTGCACCATATTCGAAAACGAGAGGTTTGAATCCATCCATTCGTTCTTGTGGAAGACGGGCCGTGATTCCTTCTTTAGAAGTAGTGCGCTTGTGCATGGCCGAGTCAAACGATGTACCCTCAATCGTAACAGAGTAATCTCTAGGATCATAACCGGCCAAATCTGGTGCAATTCTTGTCAATGTTAGACGAGCGGGATACTGACTGAAGAGTGCAGAGGTGTCTCTGAAGATAGTTGAAACACCGGCCGCAAGTTTCGGTCGAGCGGCATCTAAGAATTCTTCAACAAAATGACCAGTCTCTTCCAAAACTCTATCAACATTGCCATGCCATTTTTTGATTTGAGGTGGCAGTGATCTCTTGATACTCTTTGATAGACCAGCTTCTGATCTAAGATTTCGGCCATACAACTTCTGCATGTGAGGTTTTTCGACAAATTGGAGGAAAGCAAGTGTAAGCGTATGACTGAGAAGTGCCAAGAAAAAGATAGCTCTGCTTCCTGTGATAAAAACCGCTCCCCAGATACCAGCAAGCCCGATGATACGTTCCGGATTATTCAGATATCGATAGATACCGCTGTACGTGAGTTTGGGGGCGTGGTCAAAGAAAAAGTCACCGAAGAACCATCCAAATTCACCCAAAGACTCGTAGATACTAACAGCCGTCCAGAGCTGGAGCGAGACTAAACCAGCACCCAGCACATGTCGTAACAAAACAAGTCCATAAGCCCAATCGGATGGCATCGAGTACATCTTCCAGGTTGCGGCAATGAAACTTGCGTAGCACATGGTCATGCTTAAGTGGTACATTCCCTTCCATTGTCTCCAAGCTTCCTCTGTGCTATCACCAAACTTGACGAAATGTCGTGTCCACATCTTTTTGTTCGATTGTCTATCAAGAATTATTCCGAGACCCACCGAGTACCACAAACGCCAAAATATAGCACTGATTACGAAGAGCGCCTGGTAAACTAGAGTCGAAGGTGTGAGAGCAGTAATGAGAAAGACATAACCTAGGAGTAGGAGAATAGAAACATCCGTGATCCGGAAAAGATCAATGTTGCCCAGTCCCATGAGATTATGGACGGCCAATGGCTGAGTAGTGTTCAGTGGCGGGGTTTGTGTGGGTGATGAATCTACACTATATTCAAGACCCTCTTTACTTGATGCCAGTGCATTTGCATGATCGATGTCGCTTGGGGTTGGATTGTCTTGGTGCTTTCTGGGAGGCGGAGGATTGTATGTTTTGTCGATGTGAGGATTCTCCACAACGAGCAGAAATGCGAATTGAGCTATATGCGCAACGATCGAGATTGCTAGCACGCTATAGCTTGCAGCCATCATTGAGATCCCATAATAACCAGCATATCCAACAGAATACATTGGATGGGGTGCCATTTCGAAAACACCATCAAATGTCAATTCTTGATCGATTAGGTAAAAGAAGTCACCCCAGTACCATGCATAATCTTTTACAACTCGATGTGCGTCAAGCTTCACCCATAGGTTGAATAAAACGAGTATAATTCCTGCACCCCATCGGAGTGTTGACATGACCAGACTTTCATCAAATGGTGCGCCTCCACAAGCAATTGCAAAGAGACAGTATGATGTGAAATCACACATTAAAATGAGATCTACCACCCTTCGAAAGACCAACCATGTATTATACTCAATGGGAGCTTCCTCAAATTTGTAATCTTCTGGTATTTTAGTCTCTAGTTCAGTCTTGATCAATTTGTATAACCATGGTCGGGGATTTTTGCCAGTAACTGGGTTTTCAAATAGGTTCCATTTCTTTGCCCATGCTACTATTCTCTTGTGGTGCGATTGGATGTGAAGGAGATATCCAATGCCAACATTGTAGCATCCTCGCCAGAAAAGGAACAGAACTGCGAATACCGGCCTCTTCAATGAACTAGGCAGCGCATAAAGTGCGAATATATGAAGGGCAAGTATGACCAATACGATTAAATCAGAGAGATTCTTGGGTTGTCGAGGATCGAGCAATTGAGAAACCATATCATGAGTCTGGGGCACTGTAAATACTGTGGACCTGTTAGCTTCGAGTTTCTTAACTGATACTGGCATGTGCAATCATCGAAAGAAATTATTCACTTACTGGTACCATCCGGCGTTCTGCCAAAGGTCTTCTTGTCTTTGTCAAGTTCGAAGTCTTCGGACGGGGGCTCAGAACCACAACGGGCTGTCATATTATCCTCATTTGCGGTAGGAAGATTGTTAATTCGTTCCCGTAAGCCATTCGAATCTGGGGACTTCATCGAAGAAGTACTCATGTCGAATGGACTTTGCCGTGTTGAAAACGGCAGTCAAATGTCGTTGGGGCTTTTTTTGGATCTGTCAATCGAGGAGTTCTGGGCGCTTTCAAAGAAACAACACGTTGGTATAAAGAATGTAAGTGAAGTTGAGGTCAGCATGTATTTATGTTAACCATATAGATATTTCTAAATGTTGAATTTATAGAAGTGGGTTGAACCGTATGTTGATGCTGTCCTTTTCTGCGAGATCAAGGTTGTTCGATTTCAATTCAATGGGGTTCATTCATTAATAAAGTTGCACCTCGCATCTCTCCGAAACGATCAGAGTGGAGGTAATTCTGACGAATTATATTGCTCAACACAAACAATACGGCAGATTTACACTTGATTCTGGCTGGTAAATGGGATATACGGAACCAGTTTAGATATGAATATGGATTTTGTTTGTCATATTGATCAATCACGAGAATGATGATGAAGTAGCTAGTAGCTATTTGGCAATATGTGTGTGTATATGTGTATGTGTGTGTGTATGTATGAATGATTTTTTGAGGAAGGTATGACATATCTTACATATCTTACATATCTTATATTTTTCTTTCTCTTTTGATTGATGTGTGTGTCCATGAAAGTTGGGGAAACGCGTGGGGGACTTTGTAACCGTTTTCTCTTCTCTTCTCTTCTTTTCTCTATCTAATCAATCAGATCCTGTCGATACTGTCCTTCACATATTTTAACGCTCTCTATCTCTTTTCCGTAGCTAATTATTTGATCTTTGCGGAAGCTGCCAGCACACACGATATTCTTCCGTATTCAATCTAATTATGCACGAGATGTTCTCAACAAAAAAATTCAGATAGAATTCTATAGAATCAAAATGCCAATTAATTGACATGTGAAAGATCCAGTCGAATGGCCGATCAATGATGTGATTTTGTATGCATGGTCAAGGATGCTTCCAAAATCCCCATTCTTTTTTGTAACCGACCAAAATCATATCTGGGGAAAGATGGAGAACATTGAGATTATAAAAGTTTATTATATCAGATTCATCCTCTGTACAAGGCTCGGGTTGACGGAAGGATCCCGTCTTACCTTACCATCCCCTATCATCCACGTTTTTATGATCTGTCGTGTTACTCACAAAACACTACTGTAGCATTTCTGCAATCGAGTTTCGGACTTTTGATACAGCGTAACCAGGAGCGGAGCCAATAAGAGACTTGCCCCCTTGAAACTGACGGAGAATATCCAGTTGACAAAGAACGACTGTAAGATTACCGTGCCTGTTCGACGTTTCCCTCGAGAGTGATGTCTTACCGTTTTTCACAAACACAGTCTTGGTCGTGGGGGTTGGTAGCCATAACAAGACTCAAAGTATAGTTTGGCTACCTCTGTCCGACCGAAGACGCTGTCTGCCAGAGCATACGAACGCTAGAGTGCATTCAGATGCAGGTTCTCGTTCGTTGGTAGGCGAACTTCGTGATAACGGAAACATCAAGCAATCATTTGAATGTGTGACCCTGCGATATCGAAACTCCATATACATTTGAGTGTTTGAGGCTATAATCAACGGGTAAGTAACGCTGTTAGAAACGTCAAAGCTAACGAGCTGGCTAGAAAACGATCACAGAACGGGAGTGACAGAAGAGATGTACAAGGTTCTGACACAAAGATGGTAGAGGACTTCGACGTAATGTTCTCCGAGGCCTTGCTCGAGTAGCTCAATGTCTGACAGATGCCGATCTCTCAAAGAACCTCTTTGACCGGGTACTGGGACAAGCTGATATTACATCGCTTCTGTATGTAGACTCAAGGGCAACATTCCATGTGGTAAGATAAGCAACTCAACAAGTGGTGGTGAGAGAGTGCAGAACTTGATGGTATCTTGAGAGTTTCTTCTTTGAAGAAAGAGACGGACTAACTTCTCAATCCATATATTTTCTTAATAGCTGGAGATTTTAGAAAGGCTGATAGACATGGACGGATTCAGAAAGCGATAAATTCAAAGGGTTCATGCCATGCTACCCCGCCGGTAATCGGTAATCGGAGAAACGCCCTCACCGCCTTACCAATTAAGTCACTGATATTATAAACCAATCTTATCTTTAGCAAAATTCCATTGTTGCTTTGTAAACATCCTACGACTTTATCATCCCATCGACCATCCCACGTTTTACATTCAGTAAATAATCAACAACTTTATTCTAAATTTTTCGCAGTAAATTATGGCTCCATCTCTGGAGGAAAGGCCGGATGCTGTGCAAGACGTCCTCTCGAATCCTCTCAAAAATGCTCCCAAACTTGTCGCCCCAGAACCCGAACATTGTCCTGGTCCAGAATCCGAAGCTGCGGGAAAAGCAGATTCTTGCGCCGGCTGTCCCAACCAAGCCATATGCGCATCTGCACCCAAAGGACCCGATCCAGATATTCCAGCTATAACTGCACGCCTCGCTGGTATCAAACATAAAGTCTTGATTCTGTCGGGGAAGGGTGGTGTAGGGAAAAGCACATTTACAAGTTTACTTGCACATGCATTCGCCACAAATGAAGACAACACGGTAGGAATTATGGATACCGATATTTGTGGACCGAGTATACCCAAGATGATGGGAGTAGAAACGGAGCAGATACATGTTAGTGGTGCAGGTTGGAGTCCAGTATGGGTTATGGAGAATTTGGGTGTGATGAGTGTGCAGTTTATGTTACCCAATCGAGACGATGCCGTGATATGGAGAGGACCGAAGAAAAATGGATTGATCAAGCAATTTTTAAAGGATGTAGAGTGGGGAGAGATGGATTTCTTATTGGTAGACACACCTCCAGGAACCAGTGATGAACATCTGAGTGTGAATTCATTCCTCAAGGAGAGTGGCGTGGATGGGGCTTTGGTAGTTACAACGCCACAGGAAGTTTCACTGTTAGATGTCAGGAAAGAAATCGACTTTTGTCGGAAGGCGGGGATCAAGGTATTGGGGATCGTAGAAAACATGTCAGGATTCGTCTGCCCGAAATGCACACACGAAAGTCAAATCTTCCAAGCAACAACGGGAGGAGCGAGAGCTTTGGCTGAAGAGATGAACATTCCGTTCTTAGGAGCTGTACCACTGGATCCTCGAATTGGGATGTCGTGCGATTATGGCGAGAGCTTTTTCGATGCTTGGCCTGATAGTCCAGCCTGCACGGCATTGAAGACTGTAGTTAGAAAACTTGGTCAAGAAATTGGGCTCGATCCCAAGAGCATACTGCCTGAAGATTGAAAAGTCTTCCACGAAGTTCATTCCCTCACCGGCCACCCGATAACATGATTCGATCAGAAAAGTGTGATCAACATCCGCTCCGGGGCACTCAGCTTCCTGTTATGTTTACCATAATACTACACATACAGTCCGTCGACTTTGCCACGGTTTGAATCCGTTACCAGAAAGCGAAGATTGACGACAGATACTGATATAGTATCAAAGATAATTAGCATGTAAAATTCGAACCAAGTATGAGATTCAATAAACAGCATGATTATTGTCCAGTCCAGTGAGCTTAGCAATGCGGTGTGATTCGGGCGGCGAGTGCCCACCTATGTTTCATCTTTCACCTGCAATTTCCACACTAGCTTAAATACATTTGCTTGTTTTAGATTTCGGCAACATTGAAACCTTGAAGTCCTTCATTCCCCGCGGACCTCGCTGATAACTGAAGCAACGCGTATCATCATTACTCCACACATTGCCTGCATTTCTTCAAATGAACGGATTGTCACAAATCAACCCATACCCCAAAACTGCAGATGCTACCATCTTTCTGCGTCCGGAGAATCAAATCCGGGCAATCTGATCTGGCCCGCTCATATTGTCATTCCTATTCTAGATATCTGAGAAAAGAGAACCACCGATTCGGGAAGTCGTGGCCGAATATGAACATTGATATATATGCACGTTCCTGAGCTACCTAGGTATCTCGGAACATTATGCATCGGAGCTTCTTATGCGTCGGAGGATTCACTCTTTTATTTGGCAAGGCCTGGAATCACGAGATGGTTTTCAAACTCGTCTGGGTGTACATCTACCCATATATCATCAGGGATTCAGTTATGCGATAACCCATTTGAGAAATAGGGTATCCTTTGATGTTTTGTTCATCACGGCAGTTACTGGATTTGCTTAAATTGTGTGACTTAGCATGCAACTTGAATAACAATGTGGACGATGGGTGGTGGATGGTGGTATGCATTGTCCGAGTTTCGCAGACAATACATTTGCTATAGCAAGGGATCCGCTTATATTCCTCTATAATGTCTATGTTATATGGAGTAAAGAGCTTCTAAGTACATTCAGAGATCACTTATGCGAACTTGATTCTATCGGAAGACTAACCAGGGTGGCCACTTTGAGTAAGTGGTCCCACGGAGCCAGTATTCGGTTGAAGCCGATTACTCTTCTCATATTGTCGTCCACTCTTCTCAAGCTTGCTTATCGTGATTTGAGTTGAAAGACTCTGGATCCTCATACCCATTTATTAACACTAAACGATATTGGCCAATTTGGTGCATGGAGAAGGAAAGCGCCAGGTGCTTTCTCGGTTATACTTAGCGGATATCATTCGTCAGGACTTTATCCCCCAGAAGACTGGAGGTTTCATACGGTAACACAGTCAGATGCAGGTACAGTACCAACTGGTATCGCCTAAAACCAAACCAACGGTTGCCGAGCCCATTGTCTTCAGAAATTCATATCAATCTCTTAACCTACCGCACCAGATGCAAGCTGTCGTAAGCTTTAGAGTTGCATGCGGATGATTATATTCTAGAGTTAGTTATTCGATAATCTTGTGTTGCAAAGTGCTTGTGGGGATCAATTATTTGTGAGGAAAGTATTTAACCGTGTTTCGAAGACAGGAACGATTTGAGCATCCGGAGAACGATTCCTTTGTAGGGCAGCTAGATTTTGAGACCCCTGGGCCTGTATGTCAGATTGTGATGTGGGTCAAGATTACAACTCGGATTAGAGGTTTGTTCGCACGGTTTTCTTTCCGCATGTGGATTTATCCACTTGCACGCACGGTACTTTCCATTGAGACGAAACTTCATGTCCCTTGTTTTAATATGGATCGATATAAACCGAAACACGAACCTACGCGGTTACTCTTTCTGTTTTTGGTGGTTAAGGTTAATCAGTTGAGGCTTCGTATCTCCCTGTAGTCTTTTTTAGGGCTGTATTCACGAATGAGAACGGCTTGTTCAAAACGCGATCACATTGCGTCGCTACCCAAGCAGAAACTGCAAGGCACGAACGGATAGGGAAAAAACGGTTCATCCGGTCTTTATTGATGGCTTCTATGATTGATGGATCTTTATGAGCCCCGGCAAACCGTCCGCAGCGATATGGTTTCCCAAACTTTACTTTTACCTGCTTAGACCCCGCTCTTTCGGATGTCGATCGAGATATACTTTGAGTAAGTAAAAATCGACGTTCCAACATGACGGCTGTGGGGCCTGATATTAACATCGGTGAGCTACTTCAAATCTTCAATGGCTCGCTGTCGCTGATTTTGTTCATAGGCGGAAAAGGTCTGGCTGTGATCTGGGCTCTCAATGCTGTCTCAATCACTATTGTTATCGCAAGGTGCATGACACAAAGATTCATCACCCGTCAACTAGGACTCAGTGATGCCTTGGTCGTTGTATCAATGGTATGTTCTCTACCACATAGCCACGGATCATAACTAATGATGAAGTGTACCATTTCTTCCATGGCAGCTTTGATCACAGTCCAATATCACTATGGCTGGGGACGACATTACGCATATCTCGATCCATTTGATAGGATTGAGGCAATGAAATATAACGCAATTGGGCAATCTTTTGGTAAGTTCCCTTTGCTAAGAGTTTCTATATAAGATATGTCTCTAACGTTTTTGTGCGTTAGGCGTCATGGGCTCAACTTTTGGTCGGATGTCCTTCATTATCCTCATGCTACAGCTATTTGGAACTTCTAAATTGAAGCACGCAGCTCTATGGACACTATTTTGGGTGCAATTCATTCCAAATTGTATTGTTGTCGTCACATTGTACGTTCAATGTAATGACATTCAAGCTTTGTGGGGCACATCGATTGTGTCTTCATGCTGGCCTGAGTCTTATCAAACCGTGAGTCTAGACACCATTATCATTCGAATAATTTCTAATGGCACGTTAGTATATTGGCTACGCACATACGGGTTGGAACGGCCTCACGGATCTCTTTTTGACTTGTCTACCGGCAACAATGTTGTGGAGTTCACAAATGAATCGTCGTACGAAATTTGGCTTGGTATTTTTGCTCAACCTAAGTTTACTGTGAGTTCTACACCTAGCCCTCTTGCCACATTTCCTAATTTCAACTTCTTGCAGCGCCTTTGTGGGAGTTATCATGAAGATTGTGTATATTGGCGTACTTGCCGACCGAGGAGATTATACCTGTAAGTACCATATTAATCATTAACTAACAACCTGCTAACAATACCAGATAATACAGTCCCATTCTTCATTTGGGTACAGTAAGTTTTCTCCCTCACTTCCGAAATGACTCTTTCCTGACCCTCCGAAAATAGAGTCGAATCCAATCTCGTCGTGATCGCTTCTTCGGTTCCACTCCTCCGTCCACTCTTTGTACGTCTTAGGTCCGGCGATTTCACCACCCGCAATGGCTCTACGGCTCCTACATTCGAGATGTCAGGCTATAGTAATAAGAGGAAATCAATCCAGAATAATCATGTGTTTAGTGAGATAAGCGATGATGATTTGGGGCTGAAGGATTCAAAAGATGGGATGCCGATAGATGATAAGGGAAGCGAAGATCATATTTTACCGATACAAGGAGAGAAGGAAAGGGTTTTGGAACCGTGGGTGGTGAAAAAAGAAGTTAGCTATAGTGTCAGGGTTGAGGAGACAGGGGACGAGGATATCGAGAAGGGAGAGTCGGAGAGGGAGAGAAGGAGAAATCATACATTCACCATGCCGAAAAGAGCGAGTAAATGGAGTATGAGTATTCTGAGCAATGTTTCTATGGCGTGATAACTATCCAGCGTAAATTTTGGGTTACGTTTTATTAGGTCATAATTAGGTATTGGAACGGGAATGAAATCTTGGATGAACCGGAATGGATATGGATATGTATATACTCGAGCACATCATCTCCCTTGTACATACCCTCAAGATCAGCTTTTATAATCTCACATTCATCTTCCTATCGTATCTCGAGTTTGGATACGCAACAGTGAGGGGCGCGTTGATGCGTGATTCTTTATGCTTACTTGCTGTAAATTGTAAATTTCCATCCTCCACCCGCTTTCACAAGATATCCATCCATCTATCCCTACAAATAACCAAGTCACCAAGTAACATGAAAGAGAGAGAAAAAATTGTTGGAAAATAAGAATGGAAATACTCAAAAAGGAAGGGAAGGGAAGCAAGGGAAAATGTATATGTACCCCATGTCTTATTTCTTGTGTATATATGTATAGCGTAATTTATCAGTGTTGATATCACCATGGGGATGGTGAAGACAATATAGTACTATGGTTCACACTGTTGTAATATTGCTTGAGGTTCTAAAAGCTAGAGCTACGATACGTCTATACTAAAGTGCCGAGGTACTAGCGCAAGCGCTAGTGCGGTCACATGATCCCTGTCCCGACAATCAGCATATGGGCCATATCAGCATGTGGGCCACTTGAAAATACACCAAAATTAAACCTTTTTCAATATTCTTATTTTTAATCATTAATTATTATTTTGAAGAAAAAAAGAATGAAAAATAATAATAAAAAATAAGCTTTATTTAAATTTAATATTTATATAAAAATTCCTATTATTTTTTAAAGAAAATAGAAATTATTATAATTTTTATTATAATAATTCTATTTTTTAATAAATATTTCAATTTTTTTTAATATTTATATAATTAAATTTTCAAATTTTCAAATTTTATAAAATTATATTATTAAATAAAGAAAGTGCATGATTATGCACAGACGAATTTTGTATGCAAAAAGGGGTGGCTCATAGAATGAATGATATGGCTCACATGCTGATAAACTACGTTATAGGTATATGTATGTATACGATTAGATTAGTGTTGTATTGTATTTTATTTCATTTTATTGTATGTAACGTATGGAGGACTCTGTAGAGTATTTCAATTTGTGTTTGTAGTTGTATTGGTTTCGACCATGTTGTCAGGACAAGGAAGCCAATGGTTGTGGATGGGCTGGACTGGGCTTTGGATGAGGGAGAGAAATTATAAGAGTGTTTTGGGGGCAGGCTTGGGTTTTCGTAACAGAGGCCCCCGGGGGAAAGTCTTTGGTGACTCGTGAGACGGAAAAATTGGGATATTGGAAAATTTGAGTGTAGAGTGTTTTTCGATGTTTGGTATTATATTGGAACAGTGTTATTATGGATTTTGGATTTTGGTTGATAGGTTGATAGGTTTTGTTTAAATAATATGTTGTGTATAGCATCATTTCTACATTTGAATGGATTTAAACGGAAAGGCATAACGTAGTTTATTAGCATGTGGGTCATATCATTATATGGGCTATCCCTTTTTGCATACAAAATTTATCTATATATAACCATATACTTTCTTTATTTAATAATATAATTTTATAAGATTTGAAAATTTGAAAATTTAATTATACAAATATTAAAAAATTTGAAATATTTATTGGAAAATGAAATTATTATAATAATTATTATAGAAATAATATTTTTGTAATGAAAATCATAACAATTTCCATTTTCTTTATAAAATAATAGAAATTTTTATATAAATATTAGATTTATAAAAAGCTTATTTTCTATTATTATCTTTTATTCTTTTTTTTTTCGAAATAATAATTAATTATTAAAATAAGAATATTGAAAAAGGATTGATTTTGGTGTGTTTTCAAATGGCCCATATGCTGATATGGCCTATATGCTGATAAATTACGTTATCGATAGATATGAAGGATAAATGAGATACCTTCAACATATAACTTTGTATGATTTCCCTCGAATGATTCGGTGTCCTATGTTTCCGTCCCAGGGAGGTACATATTGTATGTACCTAGGTACCTAGACATTCTGTATTTTGTGGTTAGTTAGCAGGCTGGAAACAGCGCTATCTACATGACATAGCGAGAATAGCGGGTAAAGTATGATTTCTAATGAAACATGGCTGAGCCTTGAAAATGAATAAGCTTTTTCTATAACGTAGTTTAACACCGAGTGGCCCATATCACCGAATGGCCCACTTCAAAATAGACCAAAATAGGTCATTTTTGAATATTCCTATTTTAATAACTAATCATTATTTTTGCAAAACAAAAGAATGTAAAATAATAATAAAAATTCAATTTTTTAGAAATCTATTTTTTTTATAAATATTTCTATTATATTTAATAAAAAATTGAAAATGTCACGATTTTCGTTACAAAAAATCTATTTTAATAATAATTCTTATATTAATTCGAATTTTCGAAAAAAGATTAGATTTTTATAACACTTTTATAATTAAATTTTATATATTCAATTTTCAAAAAATTCTATTGATAAATAAAGAAAGTGCACGGTTACACACAGACGAATTTTGTATGTATTTGAAGTGGGCCATTTAGTGATATGGGCCACTCGGTGTTAAACTACGTTACTCTATCGTGGAAGCTTAATTTCTCTCGCACAAGCATTCGCGGTGCCAGAATGGGGTGCGTTCCGTAGAGGAGGGCCCGTTAGATGAGCTTATGACTTGTGGATGGGTGTGTATGGATGTGGATGTGGATGTGGATGTGGAATCGGTCGGGATGGGCTCGGAATGGGGGTTGCGAATCTGTGATTGTTTGATGTGCTTACTTGTGTGTACGAGTATGAAGCGATTTTGGTATATTGTTGAATTGCTGGCTGTACTGTGTTGTACCGACGGCACTGCTAATACATAGTTGTTATCATTACTCGGACTGTATATATTATTTCTCTCAACCGATGAACCCTTGAATTGAATTCTAAGGTATCTAAAAGATTGCCTCTGTGCATGTATCTACTCTGTAGGTAATTCTCCCACTCTAGCGCAACAGAATTGATACCAGATAGGCGAAGGCCCCAAGGAACCCAGAGCACTCCACCCAACAACCCCTTAGTCCTTGCAGACGGAAACCAACCGACCTCCCCCATATACCCTAGTTTATCAGCAAGCTCCGGGTATCCCGGAGATTGAAACCAGACGTCGAAAAATACATGGAATCTTTGGAATTTTGGTATCCTTTCCTTCATTCAATCCATCTGCTTTTGCGTTGCTTTCTTGCCTTGCTCATATTCTTAAATCGTATGTAGAGTTGATCGGGACCGAAGAATCGATTTCATTCAATACCCATTCCCATTTGGATGGTCTGATGTGTACATTCAATAGTCCCGCTTTTGGTTGGTATTCTAAATGTAGTAGTTTAATATCCGTGGTTCAAGCGTTGGAGAACTCAAAAGCTGGAAGTTATTGAGCCTATATACTTCCGTCTACTTTCTTCCCTTGTTGATAGTGCTTCTTATCTCAGTATCTTCTTCATCTCGTTTTTTGACTTTGTTTTCTCATCTCATCTCTTTTCATCTACTCATCTCATTTGCCACTCTACCCGTTCGCTCTAAGTACCGTTTCTCGCCAGGATGAAGGCTTCAGTAATGAGCACGGCTCTCGCAGCCCTTACCCTTTTCCCTTCCCTGAGCACGTGCACTCCCATCGCAAGCCCCAGCTCAGTAGCCATCTCCAGACTTACCCCATCCCTCCCCCTAACAGTCAGTGTTGTGAAGACCTTTGGCTTCCCTTCATGGTGCGAGAACCTCGCCATCAGATCCAACGGTAACCTTCTCGTCTCCCGTCTCGATACTCCCGAGGTCCTCCTCGTCTCTCCCACAAACGCATTTGAGCCCATCACAGTCACCACCTTCAACGCCACTACCTACAAAGGCGCCCTCGGTATCTCCGAAACCACAAAAGATGTCTTCTACGTCATCACTTCCGCCCAGGTCGACGACTCCTTCGTCAAGACCAGCGGCGTAAACTCCGTCTGGAAAATCAACATGAACACCTTTGCTCAAAGAAACGGAACCATTACTTCTCCCGCCACCGTGACAAAAATCGTCGATATTCCCGGTGCCGATTTCCTCGACGGAATGACCGTATTGGACGATGAAAATGTTCTCGTAGGAGACATCTACAACGGCTGGGTCTACAAAGTCTGCGTCACCACCGGCGCCTACTCCATCATCGTCAACGATCCCAAGATGAAGGTCCCCGCGGGCTCCTCCACCAATCTCGGGGTCAACGGCATCAAGATCTCCAAATCTTATCTCTACTGGACCAACACCGCTGTGGGTACTCTTAACAAAATCAAGATTGCAAGCGACGGAACCCCAATTGGCACTAGCTCCGTTGTCGTAAGCAATGTTCCCAAAGCAGACGATTTTATTTTTAAGAGCGACGGAACCATCTGGGTTGCGCAAAACCAAATGGATGAGTTGAGTTATATTCCTGTCGGAGCTACTCAAGCTACTTTGGTCGCTGGAAGCAACATTTCGACTACTCTAGCTGGTGTTACTTCGGGTCATTTTGGAAGAACTGCCAAGGATGCTAACATTTTGTACCTAACTACTAGTGGTGGTGAGTTCCCCTATCCCTCCTTAATTTTTTCATTTGCGAGCTTGACGGTACTAATTGTAAATAGGATTGGCATTACCCATCAATGGAACCGTGACCGTAGCAGGAAGTATCGTCAAGATCGACACCACTGGGTTCTAGCAATTAACGCCCGGGAGTGATGGCGATGATGAGCGTGCTGGAGATATGGAATAGTATTTTCAGAAAATGGAATGGCATGAATGTATGTTTGATGCTGGTATGGAATGGATAGATATGTCTACAGGTGAAAATATAGAGAATAATGATATGTTTAATAGCTAAAAATTCATGTGCCTATGCATATTCGGTGCTCTACACTGCAATTTGGAAATATTCTTAGCGCTACTTGTTTATCAGATCCTAGGGGCTGGGATCTATAGATGGTGGCAATAGGTATAAACGTGAATATAAACGATACACGCGATTGAGCAGGATATCAACAACAATATATTGAAGAGCACCTCCGCTTTGAACTATATATCTGGCACAATCTATTTCTAATAGACCAATATATTTCAAAGTTTACTACAAAAGTCACCATGTCTACCCATTTACATATTAAAACCTACCAAACTTCTGAAGTTTTCCTTCGGCCTTCGGCGCCCTTCAAAACCTGGGTGTCACGTATAAGTGACAACAACATGAACGCAATGTGATATGATGTCGACAAAAGTGCCGCCTTACATCTCCTCACTATTCTCAACTACTCTATCTCTATCTGCAGTGATGATCATGACGGGATATGGACTCTATTCCCCAATCTCTCAGGTCCTAAGCGCATGCGTGAAAAAATGGTTGCTTACGCAAAATATCAAGATTCTCTCTAAACAACCAAACATTTCCACACGTCCGTTCTCGAAGTTCATTCACATGAGTGAAATAGGTCTGCGGAAATTCCTTGGTCAAGATCGTAAGATGTGTATTTGAAGCTACGCAAAATACGCATCTGCATCTTGAGAATACTAGATGGGAAGAATCTTTCGCGGTAATATACCTAGGTAGCTACATGAGATCCGAGGTTCTGAGCCTTGGATGGATATTATCATGATTTAATATACCAGCAAATGAGCTGGGGAAGGTTTCCGAGAAGAGAAAGGCTGCTTGGGGGGGTTCTTGTATACAGCAGATGAGAAAGTGATGCTGAAGCGAAACGTGTACCAATAATTGCCGATTGATGGAAGTAGCCGAATGCACAATCCAAAAGATACTGGATCAGATTGGTGGCTACTTTGAAGATACTATGACTCTCAATATCATGGTATAGAGATTGGATTAGCGGAGCTGGGGAAATCCATACCAGAGACCTAGTTAGACGTTACATCAAGACGCATGATATGGAATTCTATCATCCGTACTTCAGTCCTTTGAATCGAGACACAGAACTCCAGATAACCCGCGTCTACTCAGCTCACAGATTTTACATTGTACTCTCCGCCGAGTTTCTTACTAGCGAGAAAGAATCCGTATGAAACATAACGCGCGACGGGATACTGCCGAGATCAGACAAATGGTACGCTTTCGAATATTTACAACGTGGTGGTTGGCCGAAACTGAGGATGGAGGTGAAATTAAACGGAGAAAATAATGTGAAATGAATCGCAGTACAAACAAACAAACAAACGATAGCCTTCTTGCGTAGTGTCAATGAAACTGAAAGAAATACTTTCTGTGGAAAAAAGTCATTTTCTAGAGGTGTGTTTGAGAAGGGTTTTAGACGATAGATGGGATCGGTTGAGCGGATCGTGGAAAATCGGGGGAGATCTCAATTTAACATGGAATGGGAGCGTAATGTGAAAAGTTAGTATCTCTACTTCAAAAGCTTTGAGAGATCCAGACGGAGATGGAAATCCCAACTTTTTGTCAATGCAGTAGGTACTATTGAGGGGATGTGATATCATGGAAATACATATATGGATGTGTTAAGCGAGCTTATAAGCCTTAAGCCATGGGTGGGTATATGGTGTTGTATTATGATACATAAGGAGGAAGTGAAAAGGCGTTAAGTTGCGTATAAAATGAATCGCTAAATCATTTACTACTCATGGATGGAAAAGAAAAACGTAAGAGCAAAGAAAGGGACAGAGCAGCTACATCTCAACAGGCGTTTGCGAACAAAATTTTCATAAATCAAGCTAAAGTTCCAGATTTAAAGGTGCATACTTGCGGTCGTTTGTTTATTTGAAGGTTTGAGTCCTCGTAGATGATATAATCAAGATATAAAAGACCTGATGGCTTCGCTCATGCATCTTCTAGTGGTATCGGGAGGTGTGACTGGAAGCGAATTCGTCGTTGATGAAGTGTAGAAAAGCCAGTATGCTTTCGCACTTTAACCAAGTCAATTTTTACGCTCTATAATCCAAGTATCTATAGATGTTTGTTTCAATGAACGAGTAAGTTAGTGGCCGTCCGAGATCTTCAGGAAATCGGAATAGAACGGCATAGCTGGCCAGGCCCAAATTAGCTTTGTCCGATCTGATGATGTACCACCCATCCAAACCTGACTGATGACATGTTTCAAGCCTGGCATTACAATCGTATAGACTTGTGTGCTCCATATATGGGTTTGGTAATGGAAGTATTCGAGGCAAGGAATATAGATGATCGCTTCTGAGGTGGTGTCATTTCGATGATGCTTCATCGACTATGGACAGGACAAATTTCCAAGAGCTAATGCAAAAGAAATCTTCTATAGATAGTAAAGATATGCTTAGAACTTGCAAACCTCGATTGACGACAGAAACAGTAAATACCTATAGTTTGGCAGCCACAGACGAAATAGTTCTGTGTGTAGATCAAAGGCGGGAAATGTCAGTGGAGTAAGTATTAAATGGGTAAGAAAGTAACAGCAAGTGAGTATTTAAACTAGAGAGATGTTCATTTGTGATCCTTACATCTGTTGTAAGCATGAATCAACCCCGCAGACTTGTCAGATTTGATACCTGAATCCTGGTTGTGACCATTCCCATCGACTTAGGACTCTGATAGGGTTTATGTGCAGGTCTAATGCTAACTTGCCTGTGAAGAAGGCTTACTTACTCATGACTGCAGTAATCCATGTTTCTGATCCACACACATATGCATGTATACATAACTGACGTGGATGAAGCTAGAATAGAAAGTCGTTTCGTTAATCCAGTTACCTTTGACATTATGCGGTTCCAATAAAGCATAAAGATTAACATTGATAGATCAAAAATACGCGGCGCTTAACACAACTATATGTCATTGATGCATGAAAAGCTTCAACGTTGATTCACACAGATCTCCAAGATCGTTCTAACGAGAAGTGGAGATTAAGTTCGTCACGTGAGATGTAACATGCTCTTTTTAAAGCAAACAGGGTCTTCCAGATCTATTCCCGGGCCGATCCGCCAAGAGAATCAAAAGTCCTGCAAGTCAATCCTACATTATACATACTATCACATCCCGAGAAAGAGGGAAATCGAACATGTACATCCCGAGGTTTATGATATGAACATGGATCGGCGGTGAGAATATCGCGATTCTTGTGTACGTGATACACATGGTGTACAATACACATGATGAGAAGTCTGTATCTCTTGTCGACACTGGATGGCAAACATTTGTTGTACTCGTGGAGTTCCAGAAAGTGTTGGAATTCTGGATGGATATACAGACTGATTCAACTTCGGGGTCTTGACCTTACTATATGAGGAAGGTAATATATTAAAATGACTTATTAACTATGTAAGAAACGCCTCTGGATGAATTCAAGGACAGTTATCAGCTGTAATATCCATATTGTCCATTGAGCGCAAAAAGGAATTGCCATCCAGAGTCTGATGGATAATTAAAAAAGCCACAAAACAGATATTGTAGGTGTTCGCTATCTTGAGGAAGATCTTTTTCCAAATCAAGATACATAAATGCTCTCTCATTGAAGCTGACTACCAAGATATTGTTGGAAATATATCTATCATCTTATGCTCTGAAAGGAATCAATAGATCTTTCACAATGTAACACTGAATAAGATCTACGTACTACTGTACCTTCTTGGGTAGGCGAGGTAGATAGATAGGTGCCGTATGATGTATTTCAGGACTTCCAGGACTTCCAGGACTTCAACGTTGGTAAGAATATGCATTACACGAACGGCATCGATCAAACTCAGGAGTACTTACGAGTACTTCTCCAAGTTCTCTGCTTTCACTTGTAGCTAGTTCCACACTTATTATGTGCTGTGTTCGTACTTTTGCTCGCTCTCGTACAAGGCTAAATTCTTCCTTCCACTCAGACTCTTAGATCGGCTCCAAAGTAGCATGGCGGCGTTGAATCCTTGAAGAGAAAACCGGAGACGGTAAACTTATCTGAGTATAGCTTCATCTTCTTCTCATCTGGTTAATCTGTGAATCTCTTAATCCCATCCTATCGTACCATTCATATCCATCAACAAGGAAATCGTAAGTCTAGAATTTGATCCTTATTTACAAATTATTGAAAGTCGTGCCGAATCAAAGCTTCAAGGGGGATGATGATCATTGAGATGCTAGGTACACTTGCATACATCAATTCGGGAATTTATCCCTATACAGTACATTTCGTACCTTCACTTCAAACAGGCTTCTTGCTTCACTCGCTCATAATTTCCAGCCGCCACCAATTAATTAAGAGGATGCGGATGTACTCCGTAGGTAGGTCTGACAATACATCTAACAAAATAATTTCCATAGTTATTTAAAATAAATTGTCCAAAAAAAAAAAAAAAAGCAATAAAGTACCTAGTAGTGGATGGATGACATCTTCACACATTTATATGAAGATATGGATGGAAATAATTGATTCACTACCCACTTCAAAATTTCTTTTTTCGAACATTCCTCCATCTCCATCTCCATCTTCGACACAAGCAATCTACATCATCTTTGTTCTCGACCTTCACAAGGATACCTGGGGAGTGTCAAGATCATCTTTTTTTTGACATCGGATCCACAGCTTTCCGTGTTTCTTTCCTATGCAAAACTTACCTCAACTCCATTCCAAGTTCTACTTGGTTCATGAAATCGATATCGCACTACAATATTAATCAAAATTTACCATCGTTGTGGGTTTCTACCGTGACATTGCTTCGCTCTTCATCTGCACAATATCTGCCAGTGTATCCCAACTCCAAATATCTTCTTGTTGGCCAATGTTATTGGGAATACGGAGATATCACAAGAAAATCTTCTGCGAAGATTCGCAGCATACCCAATCGTGGCGGCATACAACCAGCCTTATCTTGCGCCAGGATTCGATCTGGAATATCAATATCTTCAATCGAACCCCTCACCAATATATTCGGGATCTACCAGTACCACATCGGACTTGTCTATCATTGGCGATCAACGATACGCTCCCCCAACTTACCCTATCTGCGACAACAGTCCTAGACCTACAAAACGTCAAAAGATTAATGGAAAGCCTAAGCAGATTAAAGTTCGAGCGAAGATAGATAATCAGATGCCCGGAAATGATGGGTCTTCCGCAACTGCTGCGGAGGCTTCAACGACCGCTGCAAATAAACCAAAACGAGTGCGAACGGGATGTTTGACATGCAGAGAAAGACACTTGAAATGTGATGAGGGTTTGCCAAATTGTCTGAATTGCCGGAAATCTAGTAGGGAATGCAAAAGAGGGGTGCGATTAAATTTTATCGATACCCAGATCAAATCACCACCAATGATCCCTCCTACAGCAGATTGGTCAGGTTAGTAGGTTGAAGGATAATTTCACCACATATTTACTCACGCATTGTTAGTTCAATTCCAAGATGAATCCCGCGAAATCGCTTCAGAATACAAGGGCGGCTTGAGTCGATATGCGCACATCGAACAAACGGTTACGCCCCCTCGAGACCTGCCCACCGAATATCCTATGCGATCTGTGGTTGTTGATCATATGATGCCAGGGAATGCCCTTCCGCCAATACAGACTGCTGGTACTTTTATGGAAAATAATCTTGGGGTTAAGCAAGAGATGGCACATTCTTCACATTCTAGGCACACAAGTAGACATTTATCTCACGCTGGTAGTGAGAGTTCTGGTTATTTGACTGCGCCGACTGCATACACTGCGTCGGAACAAATTATCACGCCACCCAACGAAAGGCGGGATTATCTTACTACGCCCGAAGAAGTTCTGTATATGCAAGTTTTCGTTGAGGAAGTTGGATTATGGATGGATAGTATGGACCCGATGAAACACTTCTCCAGGATATTACCGTTCCATTCTCTAGGAGAACCCATGCTTCTCAATGCTTTCCTAGCATGTGGAGCTCGACATTTGACTCTTGTCAATCCTGTTTACCAGGAGGACAAGGCATTATATTATTATGATACAGCTACTACTCAATTGTTGCGATCGTTACAGAATCCCGATCGAGATACTGTCATCTGTGCGACTACAGCTGTCATTCTTAACGTTTATGAGATCATGTCCGAAAGAGCGATGCAACGTATGAACCACATTGCCGGAGCACGAGCTTTGATTAAGGAATGTGGATGGAATGCACGAAGTACTGGTGTAGGGGCCGCATGCTTTTGGCTTAATGTTGGTATGGAGTTGCTCAGTTGTCTGCATTTTAATTGGCAAGTAGCCTGGGAACCGGATCAATGGGGAGTTGATATGGACTTTTCACGGGAATTGGAAGCTGGACGAGAGGAAGTCTGGGTTCATCGAATGCTATACATTGTTGGTAAAATCGCAAACTTCCGGGCGTCAATTCCACGGTTTCAGGAGGCATCACCACACGACGAACAAATTCGAATGCAATCTAGGTATGCGGAGTGGCAAAAATTAAAGAATCTTTGTGATAGCTGGAATACTAGCATACCTCGGACCATGCACCCGATGGCTTATTTGTATCCGTCACAAACCACTTCAAGCTCCGCCTTCCCAGAAGTCTGGTGAGTATCTATCCATTAAGCGGGGTGTACAAAGTTACCTACTAATTACAAACTTATAGGCTTCTTAAACGTGCCACAATCGTTGGTAGATTGTTCTACCACACAGCGATGTGCCTTCTCCCTCAAATCAATCCGCTGTTGAGCCCAGAAAATGCGGAAATGCATGATATGCAGCAAGACCATTCTCGTTCCATATGTGGCATTGTAGCACACGTTAAGGACAGGGGAGTAGCTAGTGTCGCGCTTCGCTCTCTAGCTATCGCTGCCGAATGTTTAGTCGTTCGTCGCGAACAAGAAGAAGTACTCACCATATTCGAAAAAATTCGAAAAGAGACGGGATGGAGAGTTGGATTCTTACACAAAGAACTCAAAACGAAGTGGGGTTGGCCAGATGAAACAACACAACAGCAACCGATAATGCCACAAGCGAATTCTTTATCACAGTTTTTCCCTTCTAATACGCCAGCACCAACGTCAAATGTACCACCTGCACCAGCAAGACCGTCCATTCCAAGCGGTATCTTGAATCCTCTTCTAAAAACTGCGGACTTCTCCTTACCGAATCATCCATACCAACAACATTATCAACCACCAAACACAACAAATCAATTTACTCATACATATCTATAATTGATATATCATATTACAAACGACCATCGAGATCTTCATTGTTCATTACTTCTTTCGACGACGCTATGGGAGATGCAAATCAAAATGATACCCGAGAGGACAGATTCAGGGATAGACACCATTTTGCATACGGAATCAGGGGCACAAAATTTTCAATTTAGCGTTATGAACTGGGAAATTGGAGTCAAATTGGCGTTTGGGGAATAAACAATCGGCGTCGGGTTGGTGGGCACTCCTAGGTATTCTTGAATATAAAACCTTGGAGTTTGAGGGAATGGAGGGCTTTAATTCTTTCAGCGTTGTTCTTAGGTAGTGTAGTACTATAGAGCGAGTGACATTGGATGACAGTGTATATACATTATAAATGAATTGTATTATCTCTGAATGTTAAAAATTGTACCTATTTTGTTCGATGCACGCCCTTCTCGTCCGAATGTTATGAAGTTGGTGAGTTGGTGAACTCATTACGAACGGATAGTTAGGGCTACTAGGTACTTTAAGTTTTGCCAATTTCCATGTACAAGTAGGCGAAGCCAGTGATAATGATACGGTCAACGATTCAACATTATACAAATATCTGTGTTTCAAATGTTAGGTCAACAGGAAAACTGCTTTCAGAACTGCCTACCTACCTACCTACCTGTATTAGTCATCAACACCATCAATGTACCAGATGTTATGGAGGAGCACCGACCAATAATATAAGCGACACGTGATTAGTCATGATCTTGAAAAGTTTTGTTGCACATCTTAAACGTGTCGGTCGTTTACAAACGTTTCAAAAACGTTTTTGAAATGTTTTGGTTAATTAGCACCTTGTAGACGAGTTTCTTGGGTTGAATTGAGCTGTGCCTCTTCCGAAGTATGAGGAGAGGTCTTTTGAAAAGCAATAAGAGCGCTTTTTAGTTTCCGTATCTATTTTCTGAGCAACCAATCTAGGTGTCAGGAAACACTAGATAGAGTACGATCTCCAATAACGTTAACAACAGTTTTCATCATTAAATTGCAGAGGGAGAAATCGTTCTCTTGAGTTCCAGTGATGCTTATGTAACGAACCTATACATTTCAAGAGATCAGGCTTCTGGCGTACAACAACTTCATCAATAAACTTCTGGCAAAAGTTCTATGAGAAACTTGAATTGCAAAAACTATAGATTTCTTGTCTCTCCATCTCGGGCACTCTCAAGCACTTTGACACAGACGCAATGTCCATCCCTCCAGGTGCACCTCAACCATCATATATTCTACGCGGACATGCGACTCCAATACATGTAGCGAAGTTTATACGAGGCAATACGAGACTGGTGACGGGGGATGCGGAGGGATTGGTTGTAATGTGGAGTTTAGAGAGTAGGAGGGGGACTGCGGTTTGGAGGGCGCATGAGGGGGTTTTGCTGGGGGTGGGCGAGTGGGGGGAGGGGGTTGTAACGTGAGTTTTTTTCTTCTTCTTTTCTTTCCTCTTGGAATTTAGGGTTTTAGAGGTTTGTTTGGGAACTTGTGGTTGGGGGAAGAAGAAGGGGAGAGGGTGGGATCAACTGGCTGTCATCATATTTGGGAAACGGGGGGTGAGCAGAGAAGAACGCCAAGCTGACATCTTGCAGGCATGGAAAAGACAATAAATTGATAATATGGAAGCTTCCTCCATCAGAAGAGGAATTCATGAGTAAAGTTCTTCCCGTTGATACCGTTTCGGAAGAGAGGAGAAAACCATGGATTCTACATATATTAGATGTCAACACCATGAATTTCTGCGCATTTGCTATGTGTCCTTTGTATGCGGATATCAAGGTGAAGGAGGACGAAGAGAAGGGCAAAGACGCAACAGCGGAAGTGAAAATTCAGAAAGACGAAAAGGGTAAAGATCAATTGTTAATCGCAGTCCCGAATACGTTAACATCCGAATCAGTAAGTAATCATCCACGTCAAATAAGCAAGAGAAACTAACAATTCCAGATCGATATCTTTCATATTCCCACCCTTCATCGCCTACATAATATTCCTTCGCCGGGACCAGAGAAGCCAGGCATGATCATGTGTCTATCACTCTTCTTCCACCCCATCACTAAATGCTTAACCGTTCTCTCCGGTTATGAAGATGGATCAGTATCCATCTTCTCCCTCACTTCTCCCCTCTCACCATTCTCTACCTCTCCTTCAACTGCACCTTCATCTCGATCACCACAATGGAACACCATATACCATTCCAAATCACACATTCAACCGATCCTCTCTCTTTCTCTTGATCCCAGCCCCGACCGCAAATTCTTCCTCACTAGCGGTGCTGATGATCGAATCATCAAATATCTAATCCCCACCACCACAACTCCGTTTTCCCTTTCTCCTCCAGCCTCGCATTCAAAAGCGATACTAAGCTCCACCAAAGACGAGCCCAAAATACTGAAAACGGCACATGCGGGACAACAAAGCATAGAAATGCGAAATGATGGCAAGATTGCCGTGACTGCTGGATGGGACGGGAGAGCGAGAGTTTACGGAGTGGCGAAGATGAGGGAGTTGGCGGTGCTGAAGTGGCATAAGGATGGGTGTTTTGCGGTTGCTGTTGCGGATGTTTTGGAGGGGGTGGAAGTGGAGAGTGGAGGGAGTGAAAAGGGGAAGGAGTTGGTGGGGAGACTGGGGCAATTGGATGTTAAGGGGGAGAGATTGAGGAAGGCGAGGGAAACGCATTGGGTTGCTGTGGGAGGCAAGGATGGGAAGGTTAGTTTGTGGGATGTTTATTGAGTGATTTGGAAAGAAACTGTTCATGAATTTTGAGCAAATAGGTTGTGTTAGGTTACTAACGCATGACATTGTGATAAGTTGATAGCCTCTATAGAGAATTGGGAACAACACATGCAAGTCACGTTAAATGTTCAGATGAAAACTGACATTAGCATTATTTCAAAGGATTAAGGGAAAAGTTGAAAAGATCGAACAGATGTCGATCATACAATAAATCATCACATCACTACACCAAACCACCTTCCTCGCCTTTTCAAAAAGCGCCCTCCCATAATCCGTTCCCTCCCAAATATTCATCCATCGCCAGACTTCCTAAATCTGAGCCTTACAAGGCGACCCACCCCCCTCAGCCGGCAACCCACACTCCTCAGGCGTCACCAAAGTCCAATCTGCATCAATATTTCCCAAATGAACCGCTCTTCCATTAGTCAGCGTATTCATCGCGCTCTCTGCAATATTGAATCCCGTAGCCGCGGTATCAATGGCCAAGATATTGATTGAGACACCTTGATACGTCAAGGTGTAACAAGTACCGCAGTTAGGAGAATTCCATCCAGCGATTGTGGATGCACCGCCGATACGGGCGAAGGTGGGGAGATCGCCTTGGACTTTGTATTGGGGGAAACGGGTTTCGAGTCCGTTGGGTCCGTTAGAGCAGGAGACGACGGAGAGGGAGCGAGCGGCGTTGTCGTAGCCAGGGTCGTAGGTTACTTGGATGGCGAGGATGGAGGTGAGGAAGAGGGGGAGGAGGGTGAGGGTGTTGCTGAATTGCATTTTGAGTGGGTTGGTTTGAAGGATTTTGTGTTTGGGTTCGGGTTTGAGTGGGTGATAGTTGGTTGGTGTTGGAAGATGGTTTGGTGTAGTGATGTGATGTGATGTTTGTTGTCGAAAGTTCTTGTCGAGAGTTGATGCTGTTGATGCTGTTTCCCTAGAGGACTCTTGCTTCAATTTATATCCATCGTGATAGCTTTTGTTGTTTGTAGGTTTGATTGTTTACTGTGTTACGCATACCTAGGACGTTTGATTCCGAAATTTCGAGTTTTCCACAGTCCTAGAGTAGTGGGTAGATCTCATGAAGTTGTTCCTTTTTGGTGATTAGCTGAGGTGCCATTACAGTACATGTTTTAAAATTGTAATAATAGAAAGGATCAAAACATTAGAGTTGGCTAGGAGATAGTTATTACTTCACGTTCTTGAGACCGCGTGGAGAAGAATGTTAGGAGTGTTGGAAGTGCCAAAGAAGATTGTGAAGTGAGCGGCGTGCGCCTCGTTAGCAAGATTCCAACTCTTTCCCAAATGTAGACTTCAGATGTCCCAAAGATAGATGACGCACTCTCTATCTCCATTCTCACTGTAATTGAAGGCTTCCTTGAAGGCGTAGAAACGCTCAATTGTTTCGACTGAGAACGTTCTCAACAATCATGATCGCGATGTTCTGGCAGCTTGCCTTCTGTTTTTTCTCCAAGTTCCCAACGTGATCGTCAAAATACTACTAAGTATGAAGTTGTTGCAGTACTCAAAGAATACATTCACGCAAGTTTGAACAAGGACATAATGAAAAGATATAACATGATGAGTGTCTGAAGCTGGAGGAAGGGATAATATATCAAGAGGTCCGTGCACCACTTCAATCTATTAAGGTTGAAGACGCTCCAGCTTCAGAGACCACACGGATTGTAAATTATAGCAAGTCTCAACTCAACTCCTGTTGTACTTGACGTCCTTCATGAGTTTTCGATTGTTGAAATGCGGTCCGGACTATTGGACACTCTGTGCTTACAATCGCAGCGCTCTGATACCGGAGGTCCGTACTGGTGGCTGGTATCATGGACTTTTTCTTGGCTTGATGGGATTAAGAGAATGTTCTTTTACCTTTCTGGAGAATTTGGCGCCCTAACCGATATAGCGCTGGGCAGCCGAGGAATTGTTCTCAACCGTTTCAGAGCCTGATCGAGAGGTGGGTTGTTGCTCACGAGGCAAGAAGATCCTTTGAAAGAAGTATGAAACTTCATCAATGATACGTAATATCAGGATACAGAATCCTGACAGAGAGTTGAACTCATCGGCATCGAGGCTCCAGGGATATGGTGACTGTTGTCTGGGATATTTGTCAAAGTCATCTATCATTGGTAGTAAATTGAAGCTTGCATCCTCAAGTGATTTACTTTACACAACAAGTTCCTACGACCACGCATTAGTTCAGTAGAAGTGAAAAGGACCTTGGAAACGGAGCTGATCGAGCACGCCAGTATGGGCAACGA